TGCCTTCTCTCCCGCCCTAGGAAATCTGGGAGCGGCCCCAGGACCTCGGAAGCCCGACTGGGAGACGCCCAGGTCCCCAGCGGCAGAGCCCAGCGCTCCCGTGGCTGCCTAGCCCGCAGCCTGAACCCCGCAACTCAGCTGCGGCCCCCAGCGGGAAGCGCCGGCTTCCGAGGAGCCGAGAGCTGCGGTCAGGCCCCTTCCGAAGCGGGGGCGGGGCCGCCGCTGGGGAGGTCTGCATGGAAATGCCACGCCCAGGTCTCCATGGCAACGCCCAGCCCCTTGCTGCCCGCACCGGATGCTGCTGGGCAGAGCGGCCGGCAACCCCCACGCGACCGCGTCCTCCTCGGAGCCCGAGTGGCCTTAAGTTTCATTTATTTTTCTTCAAAGTAAAGGGCCAGGGATTTAGCTCAGTGGTTTCACTGCCTGCTGCGCAAGCGAAAGGATCCGAGTTTGATCCCTGGTACCAAAAAAAAAAAAAAAAAGTAAAGAGCAGCTATTGTAGGAAAAAGCAGAAGAGCGGAGAGACAAATGCCACAGGTTCTCTCCATGTAGAGCTCGCGCCCTGGCCAGTCTTTTCCTTCTACAGATGATACGGTGACATCGCACGGTAGCCACGGTATGATGTGGGACGAAAACACACGCGCGTTCCTCGTGCTGTGACGAATTCCTCTCAATCAGCAATTCAGAAGCTGCAAATGCTTCACCATGGGGCCAGGCTGTCTGGCTCAATGGTGGAGCACTTGCCTAGAATAGAATAAAACATCTCATCATGTGGGTGTCCTGTTTGCTCTAACAAAAAAATAAAATAGGTGAACCGGACGGATGCTTGTAATCCCAGCACTTGGGAGGCTGAGGCAGGAAGATCGCTGAGGGTTCGAGGCCAGCCTGGGCTACATGGGCCATCCTGAAATGTATAGCGAGACCCTATCTAAAAAAAAAATTAAAATTAAAATTAAGAAAACAGTAAACCAGGGCCGAGGATTTAGCTCAGTGGTTTCGCCACCTGCTGGGCAAGGGCAAGGACCCGAATTCGATCCCCAGTACCAAACAAAACAAAACAACAACAACAAAAAAACAGTAAGCCAGGCACGATGATGCCATGTATTTATAATTCCCATACTGCAGGAGGCTGAGTTAGGAGGATTGCAAGTTTGAGTCCCACCTGAGCAATATTTGGAGACTCTGTCTCAAAATAAAAAGGGCTGGAGATGAAGCCTAGTTAGAAGAGTCTGAGTTCAACCCCCAGTACAGCCCAAAGGAACACAAAAGTAAGTCAATCTATAAATAATGTAAGTCAGAGAGCAGCCCAGGCCCCTCCTGCAGCTAGGCCCTCCAAAGATCCCCAAGTGGTGTCCCGGGACACCTGCCCCTTCGGGGCTGCAGGTTGAGGCTGTGCAGCAAGAGAATGACCAGGTCAGCACCTCCTGCAGGGACGAAGGCCTGCAGAGAGGTCTGGTGGGGGACAGTCCCTGGCCAGCCCTCTGTGGCCCCGAGGCCCAGGGCAGAGGCCAGGCCCGGCTTCTCCTCCGAATCTGCAGGAGGAGGCAGGGAAGAGGAGCCCCTCTCCTCTGCGGCCTCCCAGGTAGCCGTGCCTGTGAGGCTGAGGCAGTGACCTGCCGACCACACTGCCACTGGGGTCCCCCTGAGGACTGTGGGGTGGGGTGGGATGGGGACAGCAGAGGGAGGCTGAACCTTGACAGGGCCCGGGGAGCTCAGGGACATCACGGCAGGGCCTGAGTGACTTGGGCAAGCCCTGTCCCTCTTGGGACTCAGTTTCCCCATCTCAGCAAGGAAGGGTGGGGAAGGTGACGCTTTTCTTTCTCACTGGCTGATGTCCGTGGATCCCTGGCCACTTGCCGGCTCCTGTCTGGTTCTAGGGCCTCAGGAGTGAAGAAGGGAGCGGAGCCCAGGGCAGAGACCGCTGGACCAGGGCAGAAACCTCCGCTGGGGCCAACCGTGCTGTCTGGGGGTGAGGGGACATCGCTCCTGCTTCCGGTCTCTGAGCTCTCTCCACTGCCCAGGGTCTGGGGCTGCAGACCTGGAGGGCCCGCCTGAGCCTGTTTGCAAAATTATGTGTGTACGTGTGGTGAGATTTTTGTGCATGAGCACACTGCATCTGTTTTTGTTTCGTTTTGGTTTTGGTCCTGGGGCTGGAACCCAGGTCCTTCGAACTGAGCTGCAGCCCCAGCCTTTTTATATTTTTTATTTGGAGACAGGGTCTCACCCAGTCACTAAGTTGCCCAGGCTGGGATAGAACTTTCAATCCTCCTGCCTCAGCCTTCCAGAGTGCTGGGATGACAGGCGTGCTCTGCCACGCCCAGCTAAAAGTCCACTCTAAACACCCACTTGAGGCCTTTTATCATCTTGTTCTATTTCCTGTGAAGACACAGATACATGTGGATTTTTGGACACTGTTGGCAATTGTTGGACTAAGAATGAACTTTAACTGTGTATCTGGGAAGTGGTCTTTGCAGTTTAAATCTACATTTTCCATATTTTATTTTCCCTAGGCTTAGGCACTTTAAACATTTTATTCTGATATAAGAGCAAGAGTTACGGTCTATCTAAAAATTTCATGCAATATGGTTTCAATCAGGAAAAATTAAAAACTATTATATGTTTACCAATAAAAGAGTGTCCAATAACAGCCTCTCTGCATTCTCTGGGACGTGTCACTTGGCCATTAATTAGTGCTCATAAGATTAATGTAACTAAGATAGATTTAAGATTATTCCAACCCTCCTATTCTCTCCATTCTGATTTAATCAGTTAATATCCTTTCTGACTCTGGATGGCTTCATTTGAATTAACTATTTTTATGAATCCATTGTTCCATATATAAACTTGTATGTTTTACAATCATATAAAAAATTGAGTGCAGTAACCTAATGATTAAATTACGCACCCTTGACTTATTAAATTCTACCATAAATATTTTTTTACCACCTCTGGGCAGATGATTTATAATCTCATCTCTCTCTGTCTTTCTCTCTCTCTCTCTCTCTCTCTCTCTCTCTCTCTCTCTCTCTCTCTCTCTCTCTCTCTCTCTCTCTCCCATTGCTGGGAATCAAACTCAGGGGCTCATCCATGCTAAGAGGTGCCCTACCACTGAGCTCCAACTCCCAGCCCTTTTTGTTTTGAGACAGGGTCTCACTAAATTGCCCAGATTGGTTTTGAACTTTCAATACTCCTGCCTCAGCCTCTCAGAGTGCTGGGATTACAGGTGTGCACCACCACACCCATCTTGACTTTTTATTATTGCCATGGAAGTTTGCCCTTCCTGATTACTGTGTCCAGGGCACCACACCTAGTTCACCCTTGACAACAACCAGAAGGGGTGGTTGGGCTGGGGATTTAGCTCAGTGGTTCCGAAGCCTGCCTCGCAAGCACAAGAACCTGAGTTCAATCCTCGATACCAAAAAAAAAAAAGTTCATCAGAAGGGGTGGTCAGTCATCAGCTCCATCTTATGATGGGGAAACTGAGGCCCAGAGAGGACCAGTGACTTGTCCCTTCACTGTGGGCCAAGACTTGGTTCCTACTGCTGCACCCTGACATGGGTTCACCCTAGCCGAGTGCAGTGATGAACTCTGCTTCCTGTATGCCAACCCTCCCCATCAGGTTGAACCTCTGTCCCCGTGCACCCTCGGGGTTCCCCCACCTTGGCCCTCTCAGCTCTGCCCAGGGCCCTGAGGTCACCATTGGCACCATCACACTTTTGCTGAACTGAATTGAAACGCTCTCCCCAATTTACAGCTAGGAAAACTGAGGTAAGAGGCTCACACATTTCTCACAGATTACGGACACCAGGGCAGTGGAGGGTGGCAGCAAATTCATTCATTCATTCACTCATCATTCAACAAACACTCTGGGACATCCGCCCTCTGCCAGGCCCCTGGTGCTTCAGTGACCTCTGCCCTCCACACAAGTGCACAATGGGGTCCCCGTGCAGGCCACACCCACAGGCACAGCCACATCAGCACTCAGGGGACCCCGGAGTTAGGAGAGCGAGCTTTTCAGAGAGGGTGATCGAACATGGAGGAGGCGAGGGATGCCGCTGGGAGGCCAATTATCCAAGGCAGAAAGGGAAACCAAGTCACGCAGCCCCACTTAGCCAGGGCCCTTCAAGGCTTTGGAATCTGGTCCCTTCCTGGTCCCTGGGCAGGGACTTGGCTCCCCCACACACACCCAGGGTGCTGGGCAGCCTCTCCTCTCCTTGCACAGCTCAGGAGACAGATGGGACTGTGGAGGTGCTTGCAGAAGGCATCTCTAGGTGGGCACCACTTTTTCTACAGTGGCCCACACCTGCTCTGGCCTCGGGGGAGATTTGAAGTTCTCATCTAGGCTGTACTGCCCCTTCCTTTTTCTCCCTCTATTTCCCATTATGGGGATTTAACCACAGGGCATTTGCACTGACTATACCTTCAGCGCCGCCCAACTTTTTTTTTTTTTTTTTTTTTTTTTTGAGACAGGGTCTCACTATGTAGCTCAGGCTACCTTGAACTCACTCACTAGGCAGCCCAGGGTGGCCTTCAACGCTGGCGATTCTTCTGCCTCAACCTTCTGAGTGCTGGGATTACAGGTGTGCACCACCACACTGGGCCTCCTATTATTTATTTGGGAGACAGGGCCTCTCTAAACTGCCCAGGTTAAGCAGAAACTTGCGATCCTCCTGCCTCAGCCTCCCAGAGTTTGAGATTATGTCACCGGACTCTGCTTTTGAGCTTCTAACCCTCCCGGTGCTCTGGAACATCCCTGCAAGCAGACCACGGCCCAACGTGCTCTGTCACCCATCACAATCTGAGTGCCCATAGATGCTCACTGCCAAGGCACCCCGGAGGGCGCACGAACTCAGCGCGTTTTCCGCCCGCCCGCCTCCTTCCCCGAAGCGCCGCCGCCCGAGAACCCGGAGAACCCGGCTCCGCGCGCGCGTGCCCGCCCCCCTTTGGAGCGCAGGCCCCGCCCCCTTCCCCGCCCCCCGCGCCGTCCCCTTTTGTTCCCTCCCGGAGCCCGGGCGCTCGCTCCGCGGTAGGCTGCGCTCGGTGGCGCGGGGCGCTGGCGGCGCCGGGCCTCTCTCACGGGCGCCTCCCCTTCCCCCGGCCGCGGGGCGCGAGGCCGGGCGGGCAGCGCCGCGGGGGGGCGCATCATCCTCGGCCCAGGCCGGGCAACACGAGGGGCCCCGCGAGCCTGCGCCGAGGACCAGGTAGGCGCCGCCCGAGGGTCGCGCGGGCAACAAAGGACGCGGAGGCGCCGGGGGCGGGCGCGGCGTGGCCGGGGCGTAGGCCGAGGCGGGACGGTCTCCGCCACGGGTGGGCGTAGGCAGGAGCCGGCCGCCCTGCACCCCAACTTCGCCTCCGGGGCGCCTCCCTGGCTGCGGGGCCCCTCGGTGAAGCCCCGGCCCCCGCCCCCTCCCAAGGGCACTGCCCCCGGCTCTGACCTGGGGTCGCGGGCGGGCCACGTCCTCTACGAAATTTGGTTGCAGCGCGGCTGCAGGGGCGAGGGCGCCAGGCTGTCGCGGGCCGTGAGGCAGCAGATTTGTCCCCAGCCCCGCCTCGGTCCCCAGGGAGGGGCCGCGGCGATGCTGCCCGCGTGGACCCCGAGGCCTCGCCTGTGCCCGCCGTGCCCGTGGCACTGCCACGCAGGCCCGGCCCCACCCTGGGAAGGGCAGGCCAGGGGACCGCGGAGCAGCTGCACGTCCAGCTCGCGACCCCCAGCGTCCAGGTCCCGGAGCCCGCGCCGGGGCGAGGGGCGCCCCGCCCCGAGGCGGTGGGGTGGGGCCGGCCTGGGGCGGTGGGCAGAGGAGAACGGGATGCGTGGAGCGCCCGCCGTGCCGAGGCCTCCCCCTCACTCGCGGATGTAAATGATGACCCCTCCTTCATCGGCCGCGGGGTCACCAGGCCTGGCACTGCCAGGGGCCGCCAGGTCCACAGAACCGGATCGCGGGGTGCCCAGAAGGACCCAGCCCAGAGGCCCTGGCCAGCGCGAGGGTGGGGATCAGGACGGCCCCCCACGAGCCTGGCCAGAAGCTTGAGGCCAGCGTGTACGTGGGGTCCTGGCTGAGGACACAGGTGTGCAAAGGCTTGGAGTCGGGAGGCAGCGGGCGCATGGGTGACTGGGTGCGGGGTTCAAGGCCAGGGGACCCCGTAGAGGGAGGGGCGGGCTGCCCGTCCGGTCCGTGTATGGGAGACGCTCACAAACACGGGATGCCAGCCCGGGAATGATGTTGAGGTGCAGCTTCAGCTGCAGGGATGGAGATGAGGAGCCCCAGAGGCAGGGAAACCAGGCAGGAGGGCCCCGAGAGCAGGACTCAGTGCCTGCCGGCAGGCAGGGATAATCTGCAGCCCGACCCCACACTCCTACTGGGGAGACCCCTCAGTGGGCGCTCTGCCTCCCCAGCTCTGAGGGGGTTCTGAGTTGCGATGCTTGTGCCTGACGTCCTGGCTTCAAATTCCTGCTCCACCACTCTTAGCTGTGTGGCTTTGGCCAAAATGCTGCACCTCTCTGCCTTGATTTCCCCTTCTGTAAGAGAAGCTGCACCCCGTGACAGCGCGCTTGTTAGTGCCGCTGCAGCTGCTGCCTGCCGAGGCCCCCACAGCTCCCCTTGTCCTGGCTCCTGCCTTTGGGTCCCCAGCCCCTCCGGCCACCTGTCCCCTTCTGCCTCTGTCGGCCTGAAGAACTTCCGCCCTGGCGCCTGTGAGGTGCTCCCCCTGCCATCCTCTGACACCTCCACCCTATGTGCGCACGTTCAAAGTCCAGTTGCTGCCTTCCCACGTGGCTCTGCGCGGGCACGCTCACACACACACACACACACACGCACGCACGCGTGCGCGCGCCTCGCAAGGCCACTGGTGAGCCTGGTTTGCAGACCTGGCTCGGGACACGGGTGGAGGCGCCTGCGACGCCTGTCTTTGGGGCTACCTGGGGCCAGGAACCTCCTCCAGTCAGGCCGCCTGGTCCTGCCGAGCTGCCAGGCAGCCCCTCCTCCGCCGCTTCGTCTCTGGCCACGGTTTCATTTTTCCCACCGCATCTGTACTGCCTCTGCCTGTCTTTGCCTGGCTTCTGAGCGTGGTCCCCAGTGATAAGTCCATGGGGCTCCAGCAATGTCCCCTTCAGTCTCGGGGTGCCAGCCTGGGCGGCAGCTCACCCCCTGTGCTCTGGGGAGCAGGTCCTGTGGGCTGGGCACAGCTGGTGGGGGGGGGCAGTACGCTGCATTTTGGAGAGTGGGGGCTTGGGTGAGGAGCCAGAATGGAGTGAGGATCGCTGTCCACAGTTAAGCTCGCTCAGGTGTGGGGCTCCACCCTGGGAGCCTGACTTTTGGGGTGCTGTCTGGCTGTTGAGGGGAGGTGGGTGGCCTGATCCGCCCTGAGGGGGCTCCCTCCAGTGCCTGGGGCCTGGGGTCAGGTTGCCACCTTGGAAACGCCAACCTGTCCTGTCCCCAGGAAGTGCCGAGATCCTAATGGCCGATTCCCTGCTTCTGTGAATGGGGTGCAATCCAGGGCCCAGCTGCCCTGTCTGGGGCCGGCTTTCTCAGGGATCTCTTGCCCCATGGCAGGACATACACCTTCCCTCCAGCTGAGGCCTGAGGGACACCCGACCTAGCCTGACTCCCCTCCTCCCAGCTCAGATTCCAGGTGGAGTGCAGCTCAAACTGAATGGGCAGATGCCAGTCTAGTCCCTCCCCTTTCCTCTTCTTTTCTTCTGTTCCGTCCTCTCCTTCTGTTTCCTGCTTCCTCATCTTTCTTTGTTTGTTTTGTTTGTTTTGTTTTGGGGTTTTTTTTGTTTTTTTGGTACCCGGGATCAAACTCGGGTCCTTGCACTTGCACAGCAGGTGGCGAAACCACTGAGCTGAATCCCCGTCATCCTCATCTTTCTTTACTGGGGATTGAGCCCAGGGTCTTCGCACTGAGCTACAACCCAGCTCTTTTTACTTTGAGACAGGGTTTTCCCAAGTTGGTTGTGAGGATGCCAGGTGAAGTGGTTCAGGGCACACACTTTGTGGTGGCCAAAGGTCCTGGGTTCAAGTCCTGCCTGTGCTCTTGGTTCGTTGTGTAACCCCAGACAAGTGCCTTAGTGGCTGTTGTTAAAGTAGGGGCCACAATAACACCTCCTTTCTAGGGCGGCTGTGAAGATTAGATGAGTTAATGCTTATTACTGAGCCTGAACCCTCAATTCCATGTACACCCATGCAGACTCTGGGTCCCTGTGGTGAAGGAGCAAGCACTGGCCTGTGACCTCCCACTGGGCATCACTCAGAGCAGAGAATGGCATGGACGTTGGTCGCTGCTCCTGAGGTCACCCAGCTCTGGGTGGGACGTGGGTGCTCGGCAGGTTCCAGAGGAAGTTTGTGTTTTTGTTTTTGGTAGTACTGGGGATGGAACCCTGGGAGTGCTGAGCTACATCCCAGGCCTTTTTCTTTTTATCTCAAGACTGAGTCTTGCCCAGTTGTCCAGGCTGGCCTTGAACTTGTGATCCTCCTACCTCAGCCTCCCAGAGTGCTGGGATCGCAGGCATGTGCCACCATGCTGGGCTGTGGATCTCGGAGCCGTATTGTTCTGCCGTGCTCATTTAGACCCGCTGCCCCCCAGAAATGGTGTGTGTGTGACTGTGTTAGTTTCCCATCTCGGCCATAACAAATCGCCACACTCTCGCGGCTGAAAACACCTGTGTCTCACAGTTCTGCAGCTCAGAAGTCGGACACGGATCTCACCAGGCTGAAATCCAGGTTAGCAGGGCCGTGCTGCCCTTGGAAACTCTGGGGAAAACCTGTCCCCGCCTTTTCCCGACTGAGTGGCCACCACCTTCCTCCACTCCAGCCCATTCCGCCACCCCAGAGCCAGCAGTGTTGGATGAAGTCGCTCACTAACCTGGGTCCCTCAGCCTCCCTCTTCCCTTTAAGGACCCCAGTACTGCACTGGGCTCACCCAGGGACCCAGGATCATCATTCCTTCTCGGAGTCAACTGATTGGCAATTTGATCTCTCACCTCCCTTCACCATGTGGAAATGCAGACAATCCCAATAGGCTGACATGGCTCACCTGGGTTGAAGTTTTTCAACTTCACGATATTTGGTTGCTTGTCTAATTCTGACCAACCACATGTGTGGCTGGGTCAGGAGGAGAACTGTATTAGTCACTTTCCTGTCCCTGGGACACAATAAGGACACCCACACTTGGAAGTAGCAGAGGTTTTTTTGCTCATAGTTCGGGGGATTCAGTCCCTGGTCAGCTGGCTCCAAGGCAGGAAGGGCCTGGAGGGCAGACAGCTGCTCACTGCCTGGTGGCCAGGAAGCAGCGAGAGAAGGGAGGAGCCTGGAGGGAGAGGCACCTTCCAGGCCACGCCCCCAGGCCCACCTCCAGCCAGGCCCCGCCTCCTAACAGCCCCTGAACCAATCGATGGTCGATTCCATTGATGAGCACAGCGCCCCATGATCCAACCTCCTTCCAGAAGCCTCGCCCTGAACACAAGAGGCTTGGGGGCATCGAGGTGTAAAGCATAACAAGCAGCCAGCGGTGCCCACCTTCCTCCTGCCAGCCTGGCCTGGGCATGATGGGGCATCGCCCAGGAAGTCGGAGGTGAAGGGGGCTGTGGTGAAAGCCGGTGTCTTCCCGTGTCCTGCCCTGTCCCTGGGTGGCCTTAGGGACCCAAGCCAACAGAGCTGGGCCCAGCATCATGGGCCAGTGACCTGCAGGCCCAATATCCAGTTGCTGAGGCTGTAGGTGGCCACTAGCTGGGGCCAGGCTCTGGGGCCTGTCTGGGCCTGGTTCTGCGAACGGCAGCCCCATGAGTTTGCGTGTGCGTGTGCGTGTGTGTGTGTGTGTGTGGCTGTGTCTGCCATCACCCTGCACTGTTGGCAGGGCCGAGAAGATGCTTCCTTTACAATGGGAAACTTCATCCCAGTATTAAGGGAGGCTGAGGCAGGAGGATTGCAAGTTTGAGCCAAACTTGAGCAATTTAGTGAGACCCTATCCTGTCTCCAAATAAAAAACAAAAAGGGCTGGGGACGTACGTTCGTGTGAAGGCCCTGGGTTCCATCCCCAGTACTGCAAAGAAAACAAACAGAAATAAACTTTGGGCAACTTCAGGCCCCCTTCAGGCACAGTGTGGGTGGTGAGCATAATGGGGCAGAGCCTCGGCTTCCGCACTGCCTTCCCTGCTCAGCCGTGTGCACCGCAGCTCCCCTGCGGGCCCAGCTGACCCTGCTGTCTGTGTGGCCACCAGGCCCCTGGTGCTGTCAGGGTGACCGGGACCTCAACAGGGCCAAGCCCACCCCATTCATCTCGACTCCCTGTGCCCCTGCTGCTGGGCCTGCAGAGCCCCGGGCTCCAGCTTCCTGCTGAGCCCTGGTGACTGGGGGACTGGGTGACTGGGGGAGCAGAGGGCGGGGTGGGGGCCAGGCCCCAGGCAGGCGGGCACCATCTCCCGCTCTCGCTGGCCTGGGGGCAGCTTGTGGAGACACCTGAGGGGCTGGCCCAGCCCTGCCCTCTGCTTGGCCTGGTGCAGGGGACATGGGGACATTCGAGCCACTGCTGTGACCTAAGTCCAGCTGCTCAAGTTCCCAAGTCTCAGTCTGCAGAATGACCCTCCTTCCAGCTGGGGGGCTGGGGCAGGTCACCCTGTGGGGCGAGGGGTGGGTGGTGTTGGGGTGCCTGGTGAGGCAGGTCGGGGAGCCCACATCTGACCCTCAAAAGGGAGCCAGGGGCGCCTGGCCTGGGGGTCAGCATCTGTGAGGTCCGCTCTGGGGCTTGCCCCCCACTCCTGTGGGAGCAGAAGGCCATTTTCTCTCCTCTGTCTTTTTCTTTTTCTTTCTTTTTGAGACAGGGTCTCACTATGTAGTTCAGGTTGGTCTTGAACTCACTATGTAGTCCAGGCTGGCCTCCAACTTTCATTGGCAATTCTCCTGCCTCAGCCTCTCAAGTGTTAGGATTGTAGATGTGTGCCACCATGCCTGGCTAATTTACTTTTCATTTAAAAACAATGAAAGCATTTTAAGTACTCCAAAGAAGGCGCAGACGAGACATACTGAGTGCCCATGGAAATACCCCACGGGGTGGCCACAAACCTTCAAACACAAAGGCAACCCCAGTTACTCCACCCATCCCAGTCCACTGCAACCCCAAACCCAGGATGCTGCAGTGCTGTCCCTGCTGGGGACCAGTGGAGTCTCCTATCCACACTATGGCCCAGCTGCAGCCCCACCCTTCACTGTCAGGCTGCCCAGCTCCGGGCCTAGCCTCCTCTGTGTCCAAGGGACACTAGTCTGTCCTGTGCTCCACCCTACTGTGGGTTTCTGCCCACATCTCTGCCCCATCCAGCCCGCTACCCCTTGTCCCCATGGCCCCGCCCAGAGTCTGGCTGCACGTGTCCCATCTGGTCCCTTCTGGTCCCGGGCGCCCACCCCCATTCCAGCCTGTGCCTCCCCCGGCTCCCCGTCCCTGGGTGGCCCCCTCCGGGCCCCGTGTGGTGTTGCAAGGTCTGTGCTTCAGGGTGCGGCCATTGGGCCGGGCCTGCACCCCAATTGCTGGGACGTCCATGGCCAGCTCAGGAGCTGGGAGGCGGCTGGAGAGCCGGTCTTAGTGGACGGCAGCTGCATCCCTGCCAAGGCAACTGCCTCCTGGTGCGGCCCGATTCCCTGTGGCCGCCTCCCTCCCCTGGGTGAGCACTGGCCTGACATGGAGATGGGCTTCACTGCCCTGTTTGGCACCTGCCCTGGAGACAGGGCTGCCCACTGGTGGGGCATCTCGGGCCTCAAGTGCCCGCCGCCCCCGGCAGCTGAAATGGAACCTGAAAAGCAGCCGGGTCCACCTGCGGGAAATGGCAGCGGAGGAGACACAAAGGGGACCTGTTGGTGTAAAGGGTGCCCAGCCGCGCCCAGCTGGGTCCCCAGAGGGTGATGGTGCCCGGCCCTAGGGTGCCCCTGGGTGCCTTCTGTCCTCAGTCACCAGTGCCCCATGAGACAGCCGTACCTGCATCCCATCTCAGAGGGGTGAACCCGTGTTCCTGCTGACCCCAGCTGTCACCTCTGGTCCAGTGTCCCCCAGCCTCAAGTAATCTGGGTTTGGATCTTGGGTTGAATGAGACACAGCACTATTCCCTCTCTGTCCAGCATCAGATACAGTGTGGCCTGAAGCCAAGCTGTCCCCATGTCCCTGCTTTTCCCAAGCCCCCTCCTTCCTCTGTCCCACGGGTGCGGCTGAGTCACAGAGGGGCCACTGTCTCCTCCCCTCCTGTCACCATTCTTCTTGCCCCTTGTCCCTTCTGGGGCTGCTGGGCCTGATGTCGCCGCCCCCTCCCCGTTCCTTCCCATCCCCCAGCTGGAGTGGCCGGGCCTGGCTGAATGGCGCCTTGGTTCTCCTCCTGCCAGCTCTCTGCCGGCCTTTGTCAGTCATGGCAAGTGGGCAGCGTCCCCAGAGCCCAGGGTCTCACAAATGTTATTCCAGGCCCGGGCTCGGGGGCCACCCTGGGCGGTTCTGGTGCAGCCACTCTTTCTGCATTTCCAGCGTCTCCTTGTGAGACAGCCGCTACCTCTCAGGGGCCTGTGAGGACCAGGAGGCCATGTTACTGCAAAGCCCAGCATCCAGCCGTAGCCCCAGCATGCTGGGAGGCTGAGGCAGGAGGATCACAAGTTCCTGTCTTAAAAAATTAAAAGGGCTGGGGGTGTAGCTCAGTGCAAAGCCTCTAGGTTTAACCTCCAGTACCGAAAGAGAGAGTGAGATGTGAGAAAATGAAAGAAAGAAGGGAGGAAGGAAGAAAGGAAGGAAGCCTGGTAGACTGGGCACGGTGGCACACACCTGTAATCCCAGGACTCGGGAAGCTGAGGCAGGAGGATTGCCACAAGTTCAAGGCCAGCCTGGGCTACACAGCAAGACCCTGTCTCAAAAAAGCAAAAAGGAAAAAAAAGAAAAGTGGGCTGGGGATTTAGCTCAGTGGTACCATGTCTGCCTTGTAAGTGCAAAGTCCTGAGTTCAATTCTCAGTACCAAAAAAAAGAAAGAAAAGGTCTGGCATAATTGGGCTCATGGGGGTCCAGGAGGGCACCGGTGGAAGTGTCCCTGGGGGTTTGTGGCCCCCAGATCTTTGCCCCTTGTACTGCTGCAGGCCTTCCCTCCTGGGGATTTCCGAATCACAGGTGCCAGGCCAGGACGTGGCCCCATTTGAGGGTCCCTGAGCTCCCAGGAGGCAGGATGCAGAAAGGGCAGGACAGGAGCCCCATCTGTGGCTCAGCATGTGTCCCACAGTCCCTGCAGGTCCTGGGAGGCACGGTGGTCACCAGGTGGCCTGAAAGGAGGTGGCAGAGAGGCAGGAGCACCTGGAAGGTAGAAGTGTCTGGTTGGGGTGACGTCTAGGGTCAGCAGGGACACAGTTGCCAGGCCTGGGCCCTGCTTTGGGGCACCTGGCTAGAGGGCCCCACCACCACCACCAGGCCCATGTTTGTGGCTGCTCAGTGCCTCGGTTTCCCTACACCAGGGATGGGAAGACGATGGTCCCAGCCCCATAGGGCCCCACAGCTCAGACTGTCAGCATGGGGTGTCCCGTCCCACTGGACGTGATGCACCTCACGAAGATGTCTGTCATTTGCCTGCAGGTGCGTGAGGATGGCCGAGAGAATGTGACCTTCGCCCGCCTGTCTGTGTTCCACCAACACCACCATGCAGAAGCCCAGCGGCCTGAAGCCCCCAGGCCGAGGGGGCAAACACTCTAGCCCCATGGGCAGGACATCCACTGGGTCGGCCTCAGGCTCCACCATAGCGGGGGCCACCAGCTCCAAGGAAGGTGCGTGGGGATGGAGTGGGGGAGGAGGGTACCATCCTGCTCAGAGATGAGGAAGGATGCTCCAGAGGGGTCAGCACCTTGCTCACGGTCACTCGGCCACCAAAGCCCAGCCAGCATGCAAGCGCCGCCTCCCATCCTCTCCTGCCCACCAGGGTCCGGTGTTGTATGATCGGGGCCAGCCCTGTCTTCCCATCAGCCTCTGTGGCTGCCCAGCCTGGCCCTTTGCCTCTGTCTTCCGGGGGAGGGGGCAGCAGGTGCCTGCAGGCAGGAGCAGCAGTGGCAGGAGGTGAAGGCAACCACTCCACTGCCCTCCCTGATGGTAAACGTAAGCCACCGGTGAATCTTCGAGGTCCCACTCCTTAGGGACAGTGAGGTCATCCCTTAGTGTCTGTGGGAATGGGTTCAGGACCCCCCCCCCAAGAACCCCAAGCTCTCTAAACCAGCTCTGCCTGACTTGCAGTACCTGCTACAATGTAAGCGCTGTGCAAATACTTGTTAAATTGTATCTTCAGTGAATAATGACAAGAGGAAAGTCTGGATAGAGCAGTACAGATGCAGCTGTTTTTAGTCTTTATTTATTTGTTTGTTTATTGGTGATACTGGGGATTGAACCCAGGGTCTTTACACTGAGCTACATCCCCAGCATTTAAAAAAAAAATTTGTTCCATGTTTGTAGTACATATGATTACTTTCTGGGGAGTTGATACATGTACTTTTTTTGGATGGGGTCTCACTAAGATGCCCAGGCTGGGCTCGAACTTCTGATCCTCCTCCCTCAGCCTCCTAGAGTGTGCGTGGGAACTATAGTATGTGCCATACCTTGTCTGGCTCAGATGTATGTCCCCCCCCCCCGTCCCAGGATATTTTCCATCTGCCATTGGTTGATTAAATCGTCAGATACGGAACCCGCTGATACACAGGGCCAACTTCATTATGATCTTGGTATACTTTCCCCCACTTCTGCAGCATAAATAGTGTGAAAGCTTGTTTTGCCTTTTAATGAATATGATCAGATATATTTTTTTGTGTCATGAGAAACTTATTGTGCCTATCGAAACTTACTGTACTGTTTGGCTGTGAGATACTCTGTTCATTGAACAATTTTTTTTAACTTTTTGTTTGTTGGTTTTTTGGTTTTTTGAGGCAGGGTCTCCCCTTGTAGTTCATGATGGCCCTGAACTCACTGTGTAGTCACAGCGAGCCTCCTGTTTTAGCTTCCTGAGTGCTGGGATTATAGGTGTGCACCACCACACCCAGTTACCTTTTTCTAACTTTTGAAACTTGGCATTAGTCCATGTTTGCAGTTTGCAGTGACTGCATCCCTCGTGGGGAGGGGTACAGGTATGAACACATCTTCATTCTTTCCCTGCCGCCCCCCCCCCCCCCCCGTCTCTCCATCCCCTTCCCACGGTCCAAGGTCCGTGTCCCCATCGTTGGTGGTCAGTTAGAACTCCAGGGTCTGCTTCGTGATGCGCTCTGGCCATGGGCCTCTGCTCAAACAGCTCCGGTCCCAGTCCTCCTGGGGTTCCCTGACGGGGGGAGAAGGCTAGGTGTCCCAAGAGCCTGTCGCTGGGGCCTGACCAGGGCTTGGAGGTCGCCAATGGCCTTCATCGGGAAGGGGATGGACACAGGAGCTGAGTCCAGGGTGGAGAGGGAGGTGTTCTGGGCAGCGGGCACAGCATGTGCCAAGGCCCAGTGGCACGGGCATGGTGAACAGGAGGGCAGGACAGTGAGTGAGGCTGGGAGGGCTGACAGCACTGCCGCAGGTGATGGCCATCACTGCAGGCCACCACGGGGCGTTGGAGGGGGCTGCAGAGGGGAGCTGGGAGCGCTGTGGTGGGGAGGCCCCCCAGAGGCAGAGTGGGCTGAGCTGTGGCCCTTTCCTCCTCTCCCCATCCTGAGAGGCCTGGACTCTGGCCTTGACCTCACACCCTGCCCTTCCTGTCCAGAGAGCTACTCTGCCAGCGATGTTGCTGGTGGGATCCAGGAGTTACGGATGGGCCCCTGGGGCACCAGGTGCAGTAAAGGCTCATTTCTGGGCTGGGAGCAGCTCAGCATAGAGCACAGGCTCAGCGTGGGAAAGGCCCCGGGGTCTATCCCCAGCACCAAAAAAACCCCAATGGATGAATTTCTTTGCTTTCACCCACCCATAATCTCCTTCCTTGTTCTTTTTCTTTACTTCTTTTTTTGTACCGGGGATGGAACTCAGGACCTTGCGCTTGCCAGGCAGGCATGGTGCCATGGAGTTACATCCCTGTGATATTTTTTTTTTTTTTGTCTTTTTTTGTTTGTTTGGGACTGGGGATTGAACCCAGGGCTCCCACACCAAGCTATGTCTCCAGCCCTTTTTTTTTGGTACCAGAGATCGAACTCGGGACCTTGTGCTTGCGCAGCAGGTGGTGAAACCATTGAGCTAAATCCCCGGCCCTCCACCCCTTTTTAAAACGTTGTTATCCTGAGCCTGCCTGGCAAGCACAAGGTCCTGAGTTCGATTCCCTGTATCGGAGAAAAAATGTTATTATCACAGTCTCCATAAGTTATTCAGTTGTCCAGGCTGGGCGTGAGCTTGTCCCCTGCCTCAGCCTCCCTGAGTGCTGGGATTCCTGGGTGCACCACTGCCCGGGCAAGTATTGATTTGAACCAGCTGTTAGGGTCGGTCTGGTCTCCCATCCTGTGTGTCCATGTGTTACTGTGTCCTGTGGGCAGTGCTGCTGTGTTGTGCCCGTGTGGTGTTGGATATCACTGAGTGGCTGATGCAACAGTCCCTGGAGGGGCCACATGGGGACTGTGCAGTAGTCACATAAGCTGGGTGGTCTGAGGCCAGGGGGCCGGGAGCTGGGTGCTGACTGCCCAGCCCAGCACGCAGAGAGGCAGTGTCGAAGGAGTCACCCCTACATGCTGGCATGGGGACAGCGGTGGCAAAGGCTGCCCTGGGCTCGGTGCCCTGCCTCCCCCCTCCCTCCCATGGCCCCCTCCTCAGGTCAGTGCCAGACCCCAGGCTGGGGGCCAGACCCTGGCAGAGGGAGGGGTGATGAGGCTGCCTTTGTCCTGGTCCTGAGTGACCAGAGCCCTGGGGGAGGGGCAGGTGGCAGTGCCAGGATGCAGGCCCCTGCCATTGTCCCCAGACTCCCTCGCTCACCATGGACCTGGCCGTCTGCTCTCTGGAGCTCAGGGGCACCCACACTGCCCAAGGCTGGGCCCATGTAGGGCACTGGAGCAATGTGGGCTGGGTCCGGGGCCCCGGGGGCTGTTGGGGACACGGGGGCCCTGTGTGCACTGGCATCTGCCCTGGGAAGTAGCACGGTGGCTGCCTCCCAAAGCATGAGCTCAGCCCTGGCCACAGGGGCTGGCAGGGACCGGGCTGGCTGGATGCCCCCGCCTCCTGCCATGGAGGGGGTGCCAGGCCCAGAGCCTGGACTCCCAGGATTGTGCAGGCCTGGGAGGATTTTGTTGGTCATTTTTTCAAGGTACTGAGCGTGAAACTCAGGGGGCTTTGCACTGAGCTACAGCCTAGTCTTTTTAATTTTGTAAAATAATTTTTTTTTAGTACCAGGGATCAAACTTGGGACCTTGCGCTTGTGAGGCAGGCACCGGAATCACTGAGCTAAATCCCCAGCCCCTAATTTTATAAAATTTTGAGACAGGGTCCTACCAAGTTGCCCAGGACTTGGGCTTGGTGATCCTCCTGCCTCAGCCTCATGGAGTGCTGGGATTACAGGCAAGCACCCCCCATCCCAGCTTGGAGCTTCATTGTGAGTGATTTGTCTGGGATTAGGTGTTTTCTTCCCCAGTGTTGGCTTCCAAGGTCACCTGCATCCCTTCAAGGCCAGCCCAGCCCTCGCCTCTCTGACCACATCCTAAACTTTTTCCAGATGGCAGGAGGCAGATGGCAGGAGGCGGCTGGAAGCTCCTGGGGCCGCATGGTAGGTGGGGGTAGGGCCGCCTCCTGATTCTCCTGACGTTGTGACGATATTGATCTGATGGGGGTGGCGGAGGCCAGCGCTGCCTGCCCAGTGGCCCAGCCGGGCTTCTCCATGGGTGGCCGGCTCTGCTCTCTCCAGGGTGAGATCCCCGCCCCATTGCTGTCCCCTGGTCCCCAGTGCAGGGAGGGTCTGGGTGCATTGGTAGCGTCACTGGGGGCGTGGCTGAGCAGGGTGGCCTGGGGGGGCACTTGGTCCCCCAGGTAAGGGGATTCCCTGGAGGGCTGCTCTGGAGACCCCGTGTCCTTTCCTCTGTGACCTCCAAATATTTCTGGGGAGAGGAGGGGCTCAGGCAGAAGGGTGCTTGGTGTTTGGGGGACATTTATGTCCCTTGGGCCACCAGACAGGGGAAGCCAATGTGGATGAAGAGGGGAGTGGGTGTGGGGGGCAGACTTGTACCCTGAAACCTGCATGAAGGCCTCTGGAGGTGGCTGCAGGATGCAGGAGGGAGGGCGGGGCCTCCTAATTGCCTGGGACAGCCCTGCTTCCTGCTGCGGGCTCTGTCCAGTGTGGAGAGACTTCTCACCGGGTGTGGTGGCCCATGACTGTCACTCTGGGAGGCTGAGGCAGGAGGGTTGCAAGTTCAACCCAAGCCTGGGCCACTTAGTGACTTAAGGACATCCTGTGTAAAATTTTTAAAAATGGCTGGAGATGCAGCTGAGCACAGAGCTTCTGATTCAGTCCCCTGTTCCAGAGTGTTCCTCGCTCTGCCGTAGGAGGAATCCCAAACTCACAGTGCTCATTAGCATATCAAAGGCTCTGAAAAGTCCTGCAGGGAAAAGGCTTTACCTTTGGTCCAGGTGCTGCTTCCTATTCTTCTTTGAACTGATAGGCTGAATTATCTTTTTCATAATAACCAGTAATGCCCTGTGGGACTGTGTTCTATGGAGCATTTAGGACACCTCCCCTCGGCCCTGGGGCGAGGCACTGAGCTTGTCCTGGTTGCCCTGGATCCAGGAAAGACCCCTCCTGGTTTTTCCGAGCAGAGTCCCTCCCTGGTCCGCTGTCTCCAGTCCCCCAAGCTGGCATCCAGGCTGTCTTGGGGACTTGGGGACGCTCTTAAACCCTGCTTTCTTGCCAGTAGCACTGGCTTTCCCTGGTGACCTGAAAAAAATATTTTCACAGGCTGTCACGGAGTCTGAGTGACTCGTCCACCATGGTGTGTGCAACTACTTGGGATTTCAGGCCACTTAGATTACTTTCTGAATCATCTCCTTGGGAAATTGGCCAAAGATTACATTCCCGTGGTTTTACTTTACTTGATTGGCTCATTGATCAATTGATTGGTTTTTTTAAAATTGATTGATTTCTTTGCGGGACTATAGATTGAACCTAGGGCCTTTGCACTGAGCTACATCCCCAGCTCTTTTTTTTTTTTTTTTTTTGTATGGGGGATCGAACTCGCATCCTTGCACTTGTGCAGCAGGCAGTGAAACCACTGAGCTAAATCCCCGGTCCAATCTGTTTCATTACTTTTTTTTTTTTTTTGCTAACGGGGATCAAACTCAGGACCTTTCGTTGCAGGCTCTGGAACCACTGAGCTAAATCCCCAGCCCCTCTCAGTTCTTTTTTATTCCCAGGCTCTCACTGAGTTGCCAAGTGGATCCCTCCTGCCTCAGCCTTCTGAGTAGCTGGGATTCTAGCCAAGCGTCACCACACTTGGCCGAGAAAGGGATTCTTAGCCTTCTGTGGAGAGGGACCAGGGAGGCACCGAGGAGGGCAGGAGAAAGAGGAGGTGAGGGCTGAGGGGCAGGTGGGACCCACAGCCGGGACCCTTTGTGGCTCGCCGGGGGGGGGGGGTGAGCAGAGTCCAAGCCCGCAGGCAGCACCACCCTCCGGTCTCGCTGGTGTGCTGGGTGCTGGAGGTGGAGCCTGCTGAGGAGGAGGCAGCTTAAGTGACCGCTCTCTGGAGGAGTGAAGCTGCCGGGAAGCCCGGCGTGGCGGTGCACACCTGTACCCCCAGCCTGGTCCCTGTGTGCTGCCCCCCCAGCCCTTGTGGGGCCCTTGCTGGCATCTCCTGTGTCCCCCTTGGTGACTGGGGCCCCTGCTGGCCGAGTTCTGGAGCGATGGCAAAGCCCTGTCCCCGTGGGCCCATGTCCTGCGGGTGGCGGTGGTGGGGAGACCCCCACCGCCCCCCGCTGTGGGATGAAGCCGCCAGCTGCTGCTGCTCCTCACAGCATCCTCTAGCCAGCCTTTCTGTCCAAGTTCCGCTTTGAACTGGGAGCTTCATTCTGTCTGCAGCCCTGCTGTCTGGGGAGGACCAGCTGCTCGCAGGGTTCGAGTCTGTCGCTGGGCCCAGCTGGGCCAGGTCTCCGCTCTGACACCAAGGTCCCCGGGAGGGGTGGGGATGCAGAGACTGAGCCCCAGCTGTTTCTGACTGGGCCCTTTGTGGTCCCATAGGGAGACCGAGGCCCCTCGCTATGATGTTGCAGGTGACCCCAGGAGGATGGGGACCCTCGGCAGCTGGGGGATTTGATGAGGGCATGGTCCTGGGAGGCTGGGACCCCAGTAAAGAGGCAAAATTAGCAAAACCAACTACAGCTGGTGCCACAGGCTTGTGACCTGGATTTTAGCAGCTGTTGAAACAGCTGGTCCATGGGCCCAGGACCCCAGCAAGGGCAGGCAGCGGGAGAGATTACCTGTGGGTCCCCCGGCCTGCCAGGACAGCTGGGCATGGGACAGCTGGGCAGCAGCTTCAGCTGAGAATAGCTGTGCTGGTCCCCGTGCCTGGAGCCCTGCTCCGTGCTGAGGGCAGAGGGGATGGCAGTTGCTGGTGCTCTGGAGCCCTGGGGACCGCCCCCAGCCTGGGGAACCTCGGGCCAGCTTCTGACCCTGACTCCGGATCTGCACACGAGAGGATAAAGTATGAGAAAGGCCCAGGCCGCGGGGGTACGTTCCCAGCACTGCACAGAGGCAGCTGCTATTGGAAGCACAGCAGCCCTCAGTTGTGTGATGGGGATTTGTAGCCGCTCCCTGTTGTCCTAAGGCAGGGCCAGCTGAGCTGGCAGGAGTGAGTGTGCGTACGTGTGTGTTGAGAGCATGTGTGTGACCCCCTGATTTCAGTGAGGGGATCAGCGATTTGTCCAGGGTCACCAGAACCAGAAGCCCGACGGCCTCCTTCAGACTTTGTCTATTTTACCATTCCTTCCAGATCCCTTAGTTTGAGGGCCAGTTTCTCATCAGAACCATGGTACTAGTTTATTGTCCACTGGGATGGGCCAGGCACTGTGCCCAGTGCACCTGTATCTGCCTTCCCAGGACAGCTGTGTGCCAGAGGCACTGATAGGGAAACTGAGGCACTGGGCTGTTAAGTAACTGTCAAAATGTGCCTGCAGCGAGGAGAGGTGCAGCTGGGGGGACAGCAGGGTCTCTGCTTGCTCAGCTGCTGGGACCCCTGTCTTCTAGGGCCTCAGGGGTGGGAGAGAAGCCTCGAGGGCCACTCCAGGTCCCTCTCTGACCGATACAAGGTGTCCTTATGCAGGAAGGACCCCAGGTTAGACTGTCCCCTGCTGTGGGGAGCCATAGGCTTGCTTTTGGGAAGCAGGTTCTGTCAGGGAGTCCAAGACGTGGGGTGACTATAGCTTGGGCTTGAGGTGCAGGAGAGAAAGTGCCTCCCTGAAGCCTTGCCCTTGGCCACAGCCCGGCTCTGCTGCTCCCCGTGTGGAGCCAGGCAAAGCACCTGGTCTCTGAGAACCTTGGTTTCCTCGCCTGTGAAACAGGGCAGCAGAGGGTCCATGAGCTCCTCCAAGCAACACACAAACAGCACAGGCCCTGAGTTCGTGGCCTGGAGTCCTGAGGTTGTTCAGGTTTGTGGTCCTAAGTGGGAGGCAGCCCTGACTCCATGGGGGCCTCCGTCCTGGCTGCCCCCCCGGGTGCAGGGCCCCCCACAGCTCTGGCTTTGAGAGCTGGCCCTGGCCTTGCAGAGTGGCCTGGTGGAGTCCCTGAGAGAGCACCCTGCTGGGCCTGGGTCCCATGGTCCCTCCAGCAGCCCCTGGAAAGGACCAGAAACTGCACTGTGAGGGGACCTGGTGCACTCTGTCCCTGCCAGCATGTCACAGGCCTGATGCCCTCTGCAATGGAGGATTATCTGCCACATGTTATCCCTGCAGGAAGTGGGGATGGCAGGGTGGGGACAGAGAGGTGGTACCCGAGTAGCACCGAGTACAGTTGGGGACCAGACACCCAAGGGACACGGTGGGCCCAAGCTCTGCTGTGTTGGTCCAAGTGACCTTGAGTGAGCTGCTTCCAGTCCTGCAGCTGCAGCTCTCTGGAGCCCGGGCCTGGGCAGCAGCCCCCTTAGGAGACCCTTGCCTCTTGGAGCCTTGGGCTTATTCTTGCTATGGGGGGGCAGTCAGAGGACCTCCTCAGGCCAGTGCTGGCTCCCACTGCTCCTGGGGGGAGTCGAGGATTCCTCCTGACCCTTCCTCCCCAGACGTCCCTAGCTGTGTTCTCTCCCGGTAACAGGAACAGGCAGAGGGCCTCAGGGTCCTGGGGTCTCTGTGGGCGAGGACTGGGGCACTGAGACCCCTCCTCACATCTGGGTCCCGCCCAGGGGCCCTGGGTGGTCTTGGGTGAGCAGCTGAGGTCCTGAACCTCCCAGGAGGGAAAGGTGGTGGCTGGTTATCCTCAGGAACGGGTTTCCACCAGCCCTGGGGTTGTTCGTGTGCAACAGAGAGTTGAACCCAGGACCTTTGCACTAAGCTGCATCCCCAGCCTTTTTTTTTCATTTTGAGTCAGGATCTCCCTGAGCTGCCCAGGCTGGGCTTCCACTCCGTCTCAGCCTCTGAGATTGCTGGACGACAGGCGTGCGCTGCCTTGCCGGCCCTGCCCTGTGACCTTGAGACCCTGGCTCCGTGAGGAAGCCGTTCTGAGCTGGGACTTGCGAGGGGTTGGCCGAGTAAGGGGAGCCCGGGGCGCCCAGGGTCCAGGGGCAGGGAGGCCTCTCCCGGGGCCCCTGCCAGGCTCCCTGCCTCAGTTCCCCCACTGTCCGGCCCGGGCCCGGGCCCGGGCCGCCCCTGACCGCAGCCCCTCTTCATCCGCAGGTTCCCCCCTGCACAAGCAGGCGTCCGGCTCCCCGGCCCCCGCGGCCCCGGAGAAGCCGGGCCCGAAGGCGGCCGAGGTGGGCGACGACTTCCTGGGCGACTTCGTGGTGGGCGAGCGCGTGTGGGTGAACGGGGTGAAGCCGGGCGTGGTGCAGTACCTGGGTGAGACGCAGTTCGCGCCGGGCCAGTGGGCCGGGGTGGTGCTGGACGAGCCAGTGGGGAAGAACGACGGCGCGGTGGGCGGCGTGCGCTACTTCGAGTGCCCGGCGCTGCAGGGCATCTTCACGCGGCCGTCCAAGCTCACCCGGCAGCCGGCGGCCGAGGGCTCGGGCAGCGATGCCCACTCCGTGGAGTCGCTCACCGCCCAGAACCTGTCGCTGCACTCGGGCACGGCCACCCCGCCGCTGGCCAGCCGTGTCCTCCCCCTGCGGGACAGCGTCCTGGGCAGCGCGGTGAAGACCGGCAATGAGTCAGGCTCCAACCTCTCCGACAGCGGCTCCGTGAAGCGGGGCGACAAGGACCTGCGCCTGGGGGACCGCGTGCTGGTGAGTGGGGCCTGGAGGGACCCAACAGGGGCGTGGTTGGGGCACGCACTCCTCCTCCACACCACACAGTGATCAGGCCGGGGTTCCCTGTGTGACCCCAGGCAAATCTCTTAAACTTTCTGGTCCGAGGCCCAGATATAAAACAGTATTTTTCCCCCCGTTATTGGGGATTAGACACCGGGCCTTTGCACTGAGCTACATCCCCAGCTTTTCTTTTTTCTTAACTTTTTATTTTGAGGCAGGGTCTCGCTAAGTTGCTCAGACTAGGCTCAAACTTGCATACTCCTGCCTCAGCCTCCCACAGTGCTAGGATGACAGTCGTGCACCACCACAGCTCAGAGCTTCTGGCCTGGGCTTGTCTCCCCCATCTCTCCTCTAAGAGCCACCAGGGCCAGGCAGCTTGTGCAGGCGACACCTGGGCAGCACATACAGCCCACGCTGTCTCCAGCCCCGGCCTCTCTTGTCTTCCACTTAGCAGAGCTCCTGGCCTGGGACAAGTGCCCAGACCCAGAGGCTTGAAAGGCCAGGAATTACCCTCCCACAGCCTGGAGCTAGAAGTCCAAAGCTGGTCCCAGAAAGACCTGCTCTGTGCTCTCTGAGCTTGTGGTGGTGGCTGTCTTCAGCCTCCAACTGTGTTCCACATCTGTCTCCGTTGTCCATGTCCTCTCCTCTCTTCTTACCAGGACTCCAGACCTGTCAGATCAGGCACACCCTAAAGACCTCTTATATTCCTGTCATCCCAGAACTCAGGAGGCTGAGGCAGGAGGATCACAAGTTCCAGCCCAGCCTGGGAAACAGTGATTTAGCAAGACCCTGCCTCAAAATAAAAGTAAAAGTAAAAATAAAGGACTGGGGATGCAGCTCAGTATAAGGGCCCTGACTTCAGTTCCCAGTCCCACAAAACAAAATAAAATAAGACTGGAAGGGGAGGGACTCAGCCCTCTGTGGGTGGGGCCTGGCCCTGTGGGCAAAGCCCCCGGTGGCTTCCTGAGAGACCCAAAGGGAGGCTGAGGAAGGTGGGGAAAGGAGCCTGAACCCCTTCCTTCCAGGTGGAGACCAGAGAACCTTTTTGGGGGAACGGCCAGTCCCCTGAGCAGTAAGAGAAGGTGGTCGAGGCATTAAATATGAAGAAAATGTTGCCGAATATAGGAATATGAATATTCATACGGATATAAATATTCATGGGCCAAAAAGCTATGGAAAATGTGGTCACAGAAATAGGAAATTCTGTGGAAGCATACGAAGACACGGTTAAGGAAATCTAGAAGAAAGTGGAGCAGAAGCAGATGGCAGAGGAAGGTGGAGAGCACAGGAGGCTGGTACAACAGGTGTGACTCCCGCACGACTGTGTGCAAAGGAGCAAACAGGATAAGGAAGGCGGGAATCCGATAAAGAATTCCAGGAAATGTCTCAGAGTTGACGAGGGAGGGCCTGAGGACAGGTGGGGGAAAGTGCCCACACCAAAGCCCTCCATCATGAAACCGCAGGACCCAGTACAAAGACAGTGCTGGAAGACAGGAGGGCTGGTGCACACCTGTCACCCCAGCACTCTGGGAGGCTGAGGCAGGAAGATCCCAAGTTCAAGTCTAGCCTGGGTAACTTAGCAACTCTGCAAAACCTTGCCTCAAAATAAAATTTAAAAGGGTAGGGAATGTAGCTCAGTATGTGAGGGACCTGGATTCAACTCCAATCCAGAAAAAAAAAAAAGTAGCCCTGTAGCATGCTATTTAAAGATGTGCGCATAAACACCGGACAATTCCACATAAAGAGTTAAAAGTGTTTGTTTATGGGCAGAGCATCTTGGATTTAAATTTTTGAAGCTATTCTTACGGTTGTATTCACACATTTTATTGTCCTGCCCTGTGAAGTTTTTAAAAAAATTATGGCTAAAAAAATAACATAAAACCATTTTAACCATTTTTAGATCTCCAGAACTTTTTCATCTTGCAAAACTGAAATTCTAGACCCATTAAACAGTAGCTCCCCATTTCTTCTTCCCCACCAGCCCCTGGAAGCCACCATTAAAACCACTTGGAAGAACACTTAGCGATGCTCCGGTACAAGCCAGACTCTGTCCACACTGTACCTAATTCTCACGAAAGTTCTTTTCACAGGTGCAAGTGCCTAGGCTCAGAGAGGTTAGGTAACTTGTCCAAACTCACACAGCATCTCAGGGGCAGAGTTTGAACACAGAGCTCTGTGTCTGTCTACAGAGCCTGTATGCTTCTTCAGGGTGGACAGGTGCTGGGACGCATGTCCTCTCAGCTGTCCCCTCCTCCCTGGTCCCCAGTTCTCTGCACACTGAGCACCCAGGTGCCCACCCCCACCCGCCTCCACTGCATACCTGAGTCCTTCCGTGTGCCAACAGGTGGGCGGCACAAAGACTGGTGTGGTGCGGTATGTGGGGGAGACAGACTTCGCCAAGGGCGAGTGGTGTGGCGTGGAGCTGGATGAGCCCCTGGGGAAGAACGACGGGGCCGTGGCAGGAACCAGGTAGGCAGCCCAGGGGCCATGGGAGGGCGGCACATTGGGCCAGACATCGTGACGCGGCTGCCCTGTCCCTTCTCCTGACTGCCCACTGCGGCGGGTGATGGGATTGTCATGCCACGTGACAGAGGAGAGACGGAGGCCATTGCTCAGGGTCACATCGTGGCAGGACTAGGAGCATCCCCTGTCCCCCTGTGCTATTCTCCGTCCACACATGGCTGAGTGAGGCAGGCACATTTCAAAAGGAGAGGCAGAGACAGGAGTGGTGGCACCCACCTGTGATCCCAGCCTGTCATCAAGAGGCTGAGGTGGGAGGATCTCGAGTTTAAGGCCAACCTGGGCAACTTAGGGAGACCCTGTCTCAAAAAATAAAAGCAAAAAGGGACCCTAGATGACACATGGAGTCATCAGTCCATGTCCACAGCTGCCCAGCCCAAGGCAGGCTTCACAGAGGACCTGGGTGCCCGCTGTCTCCAGTGGGAGGGAACCTGGATCCAGGAGCAGCTGAGGTATCTGGGTCAGTAGGGGTGGGAAGTGAGGGGGTCCTTGAGCTGTGTGTCGCTGTGTGATCACAAGGAGGTGGCCCAACTGTGTGATGGTGAGCAACTGTCTCAACCTCTCTGTGATGGAGATAATGTTGGGGATTGAGATGAACATTCACATAAGGGGTGGGCTCAGAGCGAGTCCGGTGGTTGTCATTTCCCATCAGACTCTGCTCGCCTTCCTCCTCCCCTGCCCCTCCCCCTCCCCCTTGCCTGTCAGGCTGGCTGTGGGCCATGCAGAGGCGGGGAGGCTGAGGGCTTTGGGCCATGATGACACCATGTACTCCCACTCAGGTACTTCCAGTGCCCGCCCAAGTTCGGGCTCTTCGCACCCATCCACAAGGTGATCCGCATCGGCTTCCCATCCACCAGCCCCGCCAAGGCCAAGAAGACCAAGCGCATGGCCATGGGTGTCTCAGCGCTGACCCACAGCCCCAGCAGCTCCTCCATCAGCTCCGTCAGCTCCGTGGCCTCCTCTGTGGGTGGCCGGCCCAGCCGCAGCGGCCTGGTAAGGGTGGTGCTGGGGCCGGGGAGGCAGTGGGGGCTGCAGTTTCCCCGTCAGCCCCCAGCCTGCTCAGGCTCCGGGCCATTTTCAGAGGAAGAATTGACCCTTTTCTGTTCATTGCTGCTTTTGGGTTATGGACTTGGCAGCAACCACATTCCTTGGGCATTGGGGAGGGCGGCGGCGCCACAGGGCTGGGGTTCAGAGGGGCGGCACAGCCCTGGTGGGTGGGCAGAGCTGCCACTGAGGGGACCATGCTGCGCTGAGTGCACCCTGACTGCAGGAGCGGCCTCTCCGGGAGGGTCCCGGCGTCTCAGCGTCACCGTTCCGCTGGGCCGGGTGGCGGGGCCAGTGTGACCAGGACACCAGTGGCACCACCAGGGGTCAGGGCCCCTGATGGCCCCGCGGCTGCAGACCCTGAGCCCCGCCCGCTTGCTCCCTGGCAGCTCACGGAGACCTCCTCGCGCTACGCCCGCAAGATCTCGGGCACCACGGCCCTGCAGGAGGCGCTGAAGGAGAAGCAGCAGCACATCGAGCAGCTGCTGGCCGAGCGCGACCTGGAGCGGGCCGAGGTGGCCAAGGCCACCAGCCACATCTGCGAGGTGGAGAAGGAGATCGCACTGCTCAAGGCGCAGCACGAGCAGGTGGGCGGTGGCAGGGGCCCCTCCTGCTCGCTCAGAGGGGTCTGGGGGGTGCCGAGGAGCTCTGGGCAGTGCGTGGGCCTGCTGTGTACAACCCTATGCACCTCCCCAGGCCCTGCTCTGTGTGTGGATGGGCACTGGGCTGTAGAACCCGTCCACAGCTGGACAGGGTGGCCATGCCCAGGACCCCAGCACTGGGGGAGGCTGAGGTAGGAGGATTGCAAGTTTGAGCCCAGCCTGTGACTTAGCAAGACTTTTTCTCACAGAAATAAAATTTTTTAAAAAGGGCTAGGATGTAGTTTGCTGCAGAAGCCCTAGGTTCAGTCCCTAGTACCAAAAAAAAAGACCTCTCACAAGCCAGATTCGCATGTGTGCTGCTGTCCCTCGACAACGGCTCTTTGACCCGTAGGTTAAGGGGGTGGTGGCTCCTGGGGCTCCCCTAGGTGAGGCCTGCCAGGCCCTCTCTCCTCACCCAGGCCAGCTCTCTGAGCCTGGCGGGCGTTGCCTGGCCCTGCCCTTGCCCTGACCCTGCCTCGGCCCCCGCGGCCCCAGTATGTTGCAGAGGCGGAGGAGAAGCTGCAGCGTGCACGGCTGCTGGTGGACAGTGTGCGCAAGGAGAAGGTGGACCTGTCCAACCAGCTGGAGGAGGAGCGGAGGTGGGTGCAGCGCTGTGGCCGGTGGGCACCTTGGGGTGGGGAAGATCCCAGCCCTGGGTCTGGTCCTGTCCCTGGCCCCTACTGGCTGTGTCACTGAACTGTGACCGACCTGTGGGCCTCAGGCCTCTCTGCTGCGGGGGTGTGTGCGTGTGTGTCAGGTCCCATCCCTACTGGTGGGTGGGAGGACTCACAAGATAAAGAGTGAGGCACCATTGTGCACACCCAGAATCCCAGCATTCTGGGAGGCTGAGGCAGGAGGATGGCAATTTTGAGCCCAGCCTGCACCATTTAGTGGCTTCGTAAGACCCTGTCTAAAATAAAAAAGGGCTGGGGATGCAGCTCATTGTGAAGGCCTTGGGTTCATTACCCTGTACAGTGAAAGAAAAATAAGAGTGCAGCCCCCACCACAGTGCCAGTCCCGGCTCGGTGTCCCTGGGCTGGCCAGCGGCTTGTCACAAGCAGAGCCCCTGTGTGCCAGGTCCGGCCACTGGGTGGCCACTGAGCAGCCCCTGTGCAGGCCCCAGTATGCAGCTCCCAGCCCTGCCCTGGGGCTTCATTTCCCTTAATAGCGTGGAAACCAGAAACTGAGGCCCAGTGCGGGGAGGGACTCGCCGGGACGCTGGCTCCCTGCCTGCCCCAGGGCAGTGCAGCTCTGTCCACCTGTGTGTCTGAGCCACTGCTCCCTCCCTCCCATGTGCTCTTCTGGCCACGTCACGGGCCCCGGGGACCCACGGGAAGATGTAGGCAGGGCGACTTCCACACAGCCACAGCGGACACTGTGGGGCTGGGGGGCGGGGTCACCTGTCCACGGGGGCTCCTGACCACCTGGCACACGCACAGCTTCCTGTCTCCATCCCCTCCCCACCCTGCGCAGCCCCAGCCTCGGCGCCCTTCTCGCTAGCGTCTGTGTTTTGGGTGCTCCGCCGAGCCATGTGCTCCACATGCTGCTGTTACTGTCTGACTCAGGGACATGGAGTTTTATTTATATCTGCCTGAGCCCACACATCTGGTTCCCATGGTGATGCAGCTGCTGCCAACAAACGGTTCCTTAAGACATCATGGGAGTTGTGTTCAGGAAGGGTCTGGGTGCAAGTGGTAGCCACTGCCCTGGACTTGCTGTGTGACCTTGGGCAGGCTGCTTGCCCTCTCTGAGCCTGTTCCCTCATTGTTATGCTGCAAGGCTCCAGAGAGAGCAGCTGTGTAAATGTGTTGGCTCCACAGGCCAGTGCTTCTGTCCCCAAGCCATTGCCCTTTATTCCCTGAGGCCACCCTGAGGGTCCTGCTCAGAGTATGGGTGGGAAGGTGGGAGGTCTAGAAGCTTCCAGAAAGCCCTACCCCTTCAACCTCAGGACTGTGGGTGGGTCCCACTGTGATGGCTGGTCCTGTGTAGCTGCCTGGAGAGCACGTACTCAGCTCTGTGTCCCCACAGGAAGGTGGAAGACCTGCAGTTCCGCGTGGAGGAGGAGTCCATCACCAAGGGAGACCTGGAGGTAACCGTGGGCAGGGCTTGCGCACACCCCAGGACCCTCTTGCCAGCACATGGCCGCGAGGTCCAGGCAGCCACTCTGGGGTCAAAGGTCACACCCTGGGCGCTTGGGTGAGGCCATGGGACTGACAGTGGTCACAGGTGAGCAGCTTTGCTTGGATCCCAGAGGGCCCTGTGTGGGGGCCAGGTAAGGGACAGGATGGAGCTGGGGCAGTGAGGATGTGGGGCTGGCATAGAGGACACTGTTGCTGTCCCTTCTGCCCCTCGAGGTGTCCCTTGGGGCTTTGTCCACTGCTCTCCAAGTCTAAAGGGGCTGGAAGTAGCTGGGGGAGTCACGCAGTTTATAGATGGGACAGCTGAGGCTCAGGAAGACGGGACTCGGCCGAGTCCTGGACCAGGTCATGGCTGCAGGGACCAGGGACCAGGGCTCCTGGCTCCTGACCCAGCCCAAAGCTGCTGCATCCCAGAGCCCCGGGTTCTGTCACCACACACACGGGGCCAACTGCAGGGACCTTTCCTTCTCTGTCCCATGCACCTTTCCAAGCCGAGGGACTGGGGAGCCCTGAGCAACTCTTGAAGCTGTCCCCAACCAGGCAGAGACCACAGGACACCTTCCCACTGAGGTCCTCACTACTCCTGGGAGGTGCCACAGGCCAATGGGGCAGGGGACAGCGAGGTCTGTCTGTCCTTGCACTCTGGTTCTGGCCTCAGGTGGCCTTGGGCAGCCTCTTCGCTTCCCTCAACCTCAGTTTCCTCATCTGTAAAAGGAGGAAGTGGAAGCTCATGTTGGCCTTGCCCTTAGCAGGTCTGGCTCAGCAGTCCTGCGTGGGAGCCAGGAATCTGCATTTCTGCCAAGTACCCAGTGATGGACTCAGGGACCACACTTTGGGGGTCACCACAGTAGATCATTTCTGGGCTCAGATCAGAACCCACAGTTTCTGACACTGTGAGAGCCACAGAAAGAGCCTGCAACTTCCAGTTCCCCACCAGTGGGTGTCCTGTCCCTGGAGGCCCTGGCTTGGGGGAGGCCGTGCGGGGAGGGACAGAGCAGGTTCCACTGCCGGAGCATCACATGCAGGGCTGAGGGCAGGCACAGGCTCTTCTGATTTATGTGTCCCTCACAGCCAAAGGGAAGGTTGTGTGATTTTGTTTGCGGTGTTTTCCGGTGGGCAGGTGTCCTCCTGCAGGACCTGGGTGGGCTTTCAGGATGGCATCTGCGGTTGCCAGAATGGAGTCCCCTCCCACCAACACCTGTGGCCAGGGGCATTGCTGAGTGGATCTAGAGAAATCCCCCGCCCCCAAAGGCAGGGGCTTCAGCAACAGCTCCCGGAGCCCAGCATGCCTCTCTGCCCCTCCCTCAGGGACTCCCTCTTGTCTGTGATGCCAAGTCTCCCTGCCTGTCTCTCTCACACTGTCTCTCCTGACATCTTGGCACCTGGAACTCCTTTCTCCAGGCCGCCTAGGCTCAACTGCCCATCACCTACCAGTTATCCTCATGAGAGAATCTGATTGGTCCCAGCCTAGCCAATGGGCTGGCTGCTCTGGATCAGGTGTCCACCCCTGATCCAATCAGGCCTGGCTGGGAGAGGCAGGGAGTGGGACAGAGTGACAGCTAGTTAGTTCATCCTTCAGGGCCACTTTATTGTACTAACCCAATTGAGACCTTATTCATGGTGACCAGGAAGCAAATTAACCCCAAGTCCCACTTATCCGCACCCATCTTAAAATTATAAAATTATAAAACAGAACCACTCCTTGATTTCCTGGGCCCCTTGGGCTGTATCATCCTATGTCTCACCGCAAAACTTCTTAACCCTGACTCTCCTGTCCTCCCTCCTGGCGACAGTGGCTGCCCCGTCCCACCTTCTCAGCCTCCATAGCTGGCACTGCTCACTTCCTGGCCTCTGGGTGTTGGACCCTGTAGCCTCTGGTCCACACTAGCCTGGCAGGCAGCCCATCTGTGGCTTCTGGTGCCCTTGGTGGGCCTCCCCCAAGCCTACCCTGGCCGAGTGGCTGAAAACAACACGCATTTCTGTTGTCACCATTTTGGACATCAAAAGTCTGAAATCAAGGTGTCGCTGGACAAGGCTGGTTCCCTTTGGAATCTGAGGGAGAATCTGACCCTTGCCTCTGTCCTGGCTTCTGGAAAGATCGCCGGTGGCCTTCATTCCTGGGCTTCTAGCTGCTTCATGGCAGCCACTGCCAGCCTGAGGCCATCTGACAACTTTCCCTGTGTCTGCTCCCATGGACACCAGTCCTGGGGTTTAGGCCCCACATTACTCCAGTGTGACGACCTCCTCACCCCTGAGCAAAGACCCTGTTGCAAACCTCGTTCTCTTCCAGTACTCTGGGTGTCATGAAATGTAGGGGTGCCATGGAGCACACTGTGGGGTCCCAGATGCAACATGTCCAAGCCACATCTGTTTCCTGTCCCTCATCCTTGGCTCCACCCCTTCCGGTCCCCATCTGAGGGATCAGACCCACCATCCTTACAGCTGCCCACAGCTAGAATCATTGTGAATCTGCTTTCCTTCATCCCCCCATCAGAAAGCCTCTCGACCTCGGCTCCAGAGCGATCTCCCCACAGCCACCTCCCCGGGCTGCTCTACCTGGCCCCACCCCACCTCTACTCCTCCAGTGTCTTCTTGCTGCCACTGAAGCCAGAATAGTCTTTTTAAAAATAGCTTCGTAAATTTATAATGTTGGAAAGATTGAAACTGAGATAGAAACAGAGAGGACAGTGTCATGAACTCCCGTTTACCACCCAGCCTCAGCGATGGTCAGCTCACAGCTGATCTTGGGTTGGCTACCTGTTCTTGAAGCCACCTCCCTCCAGTCCTAGACTCCATGTGACCAGAGCTTTTAAAAATATAAATGAGAGCCAGGTGTGGTGGTGTTCACCTGTCATCCTAACCCTCTGGGAGGCTGAAGCAGCAGGAGGATCAAAAGTTAGAACCCAGGGCTGGGGATTTAGCTCAGTGGTTCTACCGCCTGCTGTGCAAGTGCAAGGACCCGAGTTCGATCGCCGGTACCAAAAACAAAACAAAACAAAACAAAACAAAAAAGTTAGAACCCAGCCTAGGCAACTTACCGATTTGAAAAGACCTTGTCTCAAAATGAAAAATACAAAGGGCCGGTGGTATAGCTCACTGAGAAGGCCCTGGGTTCAATCCCCAGTATCACAGGAAGGGAGGGAGGGAGGAGAGAAAACATAAATCCAATCTGGCCCCTTCCCTTCCCAGCTCACATGGGCAGTACCATGGCTCTGAGTAACATCCAGGCACTGTATGGTGGCCCAGAAGACCCAGACCCCTCCCTGTCCAGCTCCGCTCACACCCATCCTTGCCCCATATTTGTGACACTGCTGGTGAGGTGAGGTCATCCCCACACTGTGTCCTGCTCTTCCATCCTTTGCACCTGCCAGTCCTCCTGCCCAAAACCCCTGCCTTGGAGGAGGTGGACGGCTCCTCCTCCCCCTGCAGGGCTCAGCTGAACTCCAGTTTCCCTCATCCTTTGTTCAAAGCTCAAATCACAGTCTGGAACCACTCTGCTCTGCGCTTATTGTGTGCACCCCTCCCCAGAACATCAGCCCCTTGAAGGGGGGACCCAGTCTGTCTTGATCACCTCTGGATCCCCAGTGCCAAAACAGGACAGGAATGAGATGTGCTTTTCCAAGAGGGCTTCCTGGGTCACAGGCTGGGGACGGATTTTTGTTTTTGTGTTTTTGTAGTACTGGAGATTGAGCCCAAGGCCATCACACTGAGCTCCATCCCTAGCCATTTTTTTTAAATTTTTTTTATTTTTTTTGGTACTGTTGAACTCGGGACCTTGCACTTGCGAGGCAGGTGGCAGAACCACTAAGCTAAATCCCCGGCCCCTCCCTTTTTATTTTTTATTTTGGGGCAGAATAGTCTCATTAAGTTGCCCAGGCTGGGCTCAAACTTGCAGTCTTCCTGCCTCAGCCCCCCGCCCCGTAGGGAACATTTTGTGGCCCACTTGTGCCCACCTTGTCCCCCACTTGGGATATCAGTAGGCTCAGTCATCTGGACTTTGTGTTCTCTGTTACCTACACAGTGCCTCTGGCTACTTTCATTAATGTAGGAAAACCCATTTTACCAGGACAAACCTGTTTCATGAACTAGACTCAACTATTTTTGAGAACTGGCAGAAAGTGACCAAGGCCTCAGGGAGACCAAGGGGTATGTGATATGTCGCTGTTCTTTGGGAGCCTCCAGCATCTTGAGGACACACCTGTCACTGATTAAAAAAAAACAAGCCACACACACACACACACAAAACAAGCCACAGCTGGAATTTTAGCACTCAGGAGGCTGAGGCAGGAGGATTGCCAAGAGTTTGAGGCCAGCCTGGACTACATAGCAAGACCCTGTCAAAAGTAATTTTTTTGTGTGTACCAGAGATGGAACTCAGCACTTTGGGTTTTCGAGGCAGGTGGCGACACCACTGAGCTAAATCCTGGGCCCAAAAATAAATAAATTTTTTTAAAAATTAAAGAATAAAACAAGCCCTTGGACTAGGCATAGTGACACATGCCCATAATCCCAGCTACTGGGGAGGCTGAGGCAGGAGAATCACAGTTCATGGCCAGCCTGGACCACTTAGCAAGATCTGTCTCAAGAAACAAAACATAAACACTAGCCCTTGAGCCAGGCATGGTGCTGCATACCTGTAATCCCAGGTAACTGGAATGCTGAGATAGAAGGATCACATGTTCAAGGCCAGCCTAGGGAATTTAGTAAGACCCTGTCTCAAGACATATTTTTAAAAAGGAATGGGGATGTAGCTCAGTGGTAGAGCCCTTGTCTAGCACATTTGAGGCTCTGGGCCCAGGCCCCATTGCACACAAATACACACACTCCTAGCCCTTGGTTACCTGACAGGAGTGAGTCCCCAGGCAGTTAAGTGCTCTGTGCCACAGAAATGGGGTGGACACCATGCAAAAGAAAAGGGGAAGAGCCACCTGCCACGGGTGGAGGTAAGGCTTGATCCAGCCTCCAGTATCTGCACTGGGACTGGAAAACAGGGACCCCACATACACACACACACTTCCAGAGCCTTCTTGTGGGGAGGAAGTGGAAGTGTCTGTTCTGGGCCTCACTTCCTGGAACCCGTGGGCCTTTCCAAGCCCTTGGTTTCCCTGTTGGAGCAATTGTTCTTCTGGGTGGTGCTGGCCTTCCCTTGTCCTCTCGTGCAGAGCCTTAGGGGAAAAAAACCCCAAGAAAAAAGATCGTAGACCCACGGACACGGATGTCACTTCCATGTATGAATCACAGTGTGTACATCTGTCCCTGTTCATTGGTGTCCTGAGGAGTTCGTTCTGTGATCCCTCGGGTTCCCGAATCCAGGAAAGCACAGACCCTGTCACCCTCTGTTCTTCAGGGATAATGACAAGGACAAATGTCCTGCTCTGCTCAGCAGAGATACAACTTTCTTTTAACTTTCAATCTGCTGTTGGTGGAACCCAGGGGTGTGGGTCCCAGGACTGTGGGGTTTTGTGCCTCAGTTTACCACACCCGCAAGGGAAAAGGGTTTGCTTTACTCTGTCCCACCTCTGCCCAAGATGAGCCTGTTTTCCAAGCTGGGGGTGCCGGGCAGGGTCCTCGCCCGCCAGAGCTCGTCCTGGGCGGGGGAGATGCCAGCGACGACACCCTGAGAATGGGGGGCTTTGTTAGCGGATGAAGCAGGCGTTGTGACGCCGGGACAGAAGCGCCCTTGTGCTCGCTGGAGACCGGGCGGCCTCTACAGTGCCCGGGTGGGTGGGCATCGATCCGGCAGGCTCTGACCAGGGTGGCGGGAGGCTCAAGGCCTGGGTTTCTTTTTCAAAACCCTTCATTCTCTGAGTTCTTCCTGTCCTGTGCACGCCTGGGGGGCCGAGAAATGGGGAATCGTTTATCCATCCATGCCCCTTAGGCCCGGCCCTGGGTCAAAAATGAGCTCGGAGGACCGGGGCTTTAGCTCAGTGGTGCCACCGCCTGCCTCGCAAGCGCAAGGTCCTGAATTCGATCCCCGGTACCGAAATAAAAAAATAAAATAAAATGAGCTCAGCCCACAGGCTCCCCGAGGGGGTGCAGAGAGGCTGGCCCTGGGGGTGTCGGGAAATCGGGGTGCCCGTTGCCGCCCCAGTTGGGGTGCTGTTAAGGTGGGGTCCTCAAAGCCCCCTCTGCTTTCCACGCACCCCAACCCAGGCTCCTCTCTTTCCGGAGCGACTCTGGCTCGTCGACCTGCTCTTCGTCCCGTGCACTGAAGATGACGCCTCCTCTTTCTCTCTCCCTCTCCCTCTTTCCGTCTCCGGCTTCCTCCTCCCGTACCCTCCCCACGCCCCTCCCGCCCGGCCCGGGCGGAGCAGACCCAGACGCAGCTGGAGCATGCGCGCATTGGGGAGCTGGAGCAGAGCCTGCTACTGGAGAAGGCGCAGGCGGAGCGGCTGCTCCGAGAATTGGCGGACAACAGGGTAACGCGCCCGCCGCCCGCGCGGCCCTCCCGCCCCTCGGCCAGTGTCACGAATGCTTCCGTCTTTGGCTGCTGTCATCGTTGCTTTTTTCTCTTGCGCCCCAACTAGGAGGGAAGTGGAGGTTTGGAAACGGACTCAGGGTCCATCGCCACGTGGTGCTTCTGGGGCTCGGCGCTCTGGGCTCGGCCCCAGTGCCTGGTCCCACTGCTGAGCTGGCAGAGGGGCTGTACCCTGCCTCCCTCTCATGCCTTCCGTGCCGTGGGTAGGCACAGGGGCCACCAGTCCCCGCCTCCTGAGTCCCCAGCTGGAGGAGGGTTAGGGCCTTTCATGGAGCCAGGAAGGGCCGGCCTGAGGACCTGGGCTCAGGAAGTAGTGAGGACAGCCAGGTGTGGTGGTGCACGCTTGTCGTCCCAGCACTCTGGGAGGCTGAGGCAGGAGGATGGCAGGTTTAGCCTAGCTTGGGCAACTTAGTGACTTGGTGAGATCCTGTCTCAAAATAAAAAGGACTGGGGATGCAGTTCAGTGTGAAGGGCCTGGGGTCAATCCCAGTACAAGGTGAGGCTTTTGGGAAGTTTTACGGGTGTCCTGAGTGGATGGGGCTGTCCAGCCCCATGGTTGGGGATCCCAGGAAAGCTCCGCCCGGAGGTGAGGTCCCCGAGTCCCCGGCGGAGACCGGGTCCACAATAGAACCTGCGGCCCTCGGTGTCCACTGCGCATGTGCCAGCCCAGGCCGCACCCCACGCAGGCGGCGCCGGGACAACTCCCAGTGAGGGACAGCCGGGCTGGCCCAGGGACAGGGAGGACACCGATAGACAGCAGGAGGCCCGGCAAGCAGCAGGGGTTTCAGCCTGGTGGCCACAGCGCATGAGTGGGCGTGTGGATGCCAGTGGGTGTTGAGATGTGCGGGTCCGTGTGTACTCACTGGCTGTGCCTAGGACCTGCGTGTGCTCATGCAGTGTACGCTCCTGTGCACCAGGGCTGCCATAGTGGCCGCATCGGAGCCCTCCCGACGGAGGTGCTTTGATCTAAACCCATCTAGATCACAAAAGAAGGTGATCCTGAGTTCGAGCCCAGCCTGGGCAGTTTATTGACAGCTTCCCTCAGAAAGTGCAAAGGCCCCGGGTTTAATCCCAGTACTGGAAAGAGAAAAGTTTATGATGCCAAAGAATAATCACAAAATCTTTCACGTTTGTAAGAGATTTTTTTTTTTTTGTAAGATTTGAAACGTTAAAATATACTGTTCCCAGATCTCGGACCATGGATGGGATCAGGGTGGGTTTAGAGACAGTGGTGCCTCCCGCTGAAGCCCTACCCTCTGGCCTCCTCCTTGACCTGGGCCCTCTGGGACAGCCCATTCCGGCCCGTGCCTCACTAGAGAGATCATGAGAAATTCACTCCGGCCTTTGTGCTTAAAAATAATACTAAGGGGGGCTGGGTATTCAGCTCAGTGGTTCCGCCGCCTGCCTCGAAAGCGCAAGGTCCCAAGTTCAATCCCCAGTACCAAAAAATATATATAAATAACACTAAGGATCGGGAGAGAGCTGAGCGGTAGAGCCTTTCCTAGCATGCATAGGTTCAATCCCTAGCACTGCCAAAAGTTTAAATAAAAATTAACTAGGGAGGTGTATGGGTGCACGCCTGTAATCCCACCTCTCAGGAGGCTGAGGCAGGAGGATCACAAGTTCTAGCCCAGCCTAGGCACCTTAATGAGACTGTCTCGAACTTTAAAGTTTTTTAAAAAGGGCAAGGTATTCGTATAATCCCAGCACTCGGGAGGCTGAGGCAGGAGGATCACTTTGAGTCCTAGTGGGCTACCTAGTGAGTTCAAGGGCAGCCTGAACTACGAAGTGAGACCCTGTCTCAAAAAACAAACGAAAGGGCTGGGAAGTAGCTCAGTGGTAGAGCACATGGCCAATATGTGCAAGGCTCTGGGTTCCATGCCCAACACTGCAAAAATATTGACAATAACATCACCTTCCAGAAAGCCATAACCTCAAGTAGGGAGGTTCTCTTACCCACCAATTTGTCCCAAGCCACCTAGGGTGGAGGGGACCTGTGGCTCCAGTCCCATTGGGGTCCACAAGGGCAGGGAGCACAGCTGTACCGGATGGGAGTGGGTGCTCTCTCCTCCTCCCACCCTCCGCCCTCAGGGCCGCTGACTCCGTGTCCCTCTCTCCCTGCAGCTGACCACGGTGGCCGAGAAGTCACGCGTGTTGCAGCTGGAGGAGGAGCTGAGCCTGCGGCGCGGCGAGATCGAGCAGCTGCAGCAGTGCCTGCTGCACGCGGGGCCCCCGTCCCCCGACGACCCCGAGGCCGCCGAGGCACTTCGGCTGCGCGAGCAGCTGCTGTCGGCCTCCCAGGAGCAGCGGCGGGAAAGCGGGGCGCTGCGGGACAAGTACGAGGCGGCGCTGAAGGCCTACCAGGCCGAGGTGGACAAGCTGCGTGCCGCCAACGACAAGTACGCGCAGGAGGTGGCCGACCTCAAGGCCAAGGTGCAGCAGGCCACCAGCGAGAACATGGGGCTCATGGACAACTGGAAGTCCAAGCTGGACTCGCTGGCCTCCGACCACCAGAAGTCCCTGGAGGACTTGAAGGCCACGCTGAACTCGGGCCCCGGCGCCCAGCAGAAGGAGATAGGGGAGCTCAAGGCCGTGCTGGAGGGCATCAAGATGGAGCACCAGCTGGAGCTGGGCAACCTGCAGGCCAAGCACGACCTGGAGATGGCCGTGCACGCCAAGGAGAAGGAGGGCCTGCGGGAGAAGCTGCAGGAGGCGCAGGAGGAACTGGCCGGGCTGCGGCAGCACTGGCGCGCCCAGCTGGAGGCGCAGGCCGCCCAGCACCGGCTGGAGCTGCAGGAGGCCCGCGACGGGCGCCGCAACGCCGAGCTGCGCGCGCAGGAGCTGGAGGGGCTGGACGTGGAGTACCGCGGGCAGGCGCAGGCCATCGAGTTCCTCAAGGGGCAGATTGCGCTGGCCGAGCGGAAGATGCTGGACTACGAGCGGCTGCGGGAGAAGCTCCTGGTTGCCGAGAACAGACTCCAGGCTGCCGAAGCCCAGTGCTCCGCCCAGCACGGCCACGTAGGCGCGGAGGGCGGGAGGGCGGGGCCTACGCTGGGCTCTGCTAGCTGGCCCCGGAGCATCCTGGGGATCCGAGCACCTGGCTCAGAAGAGGAGCCCCCATTCCCTCTGTCAGCAGGGCGGCAGGCTGGGCGTGGTGGCTCACGCCTGTCATCCCAACACTCGGGGAGGGTGAGGCAGGAGGATCGCAAGTTCAAGCCCAGTTTGGGCAATTTAGCAGCTTAGAAAGACTCTGTCTCAAGATAAAAATAAAAGGGCTGAGGATGTAGCTCAGTGGGAAGGCCCTGGGTTCATTCCCCAGTACTGGGAAAGGGGTGGGGGGTATCAAGCCCTGTTGATGTTGGAGAGAGCCGAGGTGGTCTTAGCTGACCCCGCCTGAGCGGGCTGGAGAGATGGGCAGCCCTGGCCTCAGGCTTCCCGTAGCCCCCAAAGCCCTGGGTCACCCCGCATGACCTTTGGGCAGGATCCTCGGTCTTCCCAAGGCCTCTGCACCGGCACCGAGCTGGGGAGCAGGCTGGTCTTGTCCTGGCAGTGCTGCTGGGGCTTCATGACCCACCGTGTCCCCACAGTGGGGTCTTGAAGGGGCCCGATCTGTGCCAGCCCCCGTTTCGCACTAACTCCGGGAGGTCGCTGTTGCCTCCCACTCCTGGGCAGTGCCCAGCGGTGGCAGAGCTGCCCAACCCATGCCTGGGGGCCTGGGATGACAGAGGCAGCGGAAAGAGGGGCTGGCTGCAGTGTGGGCAGGGCTCTGACACCAGTGTCCCCTGCTCCCTGGATATCCTGAGCTTCCTGAGCCCGGGGTTTAGCATCTGGGTCGAGTTTCGGCAGCGCTGAGGCTGAGCATCTTGTTTGTGTGTGTGGTACTGGGGACTGAACACACTCCTGGCCCTCTAAATTTACTTTTTTATTATGAGACAGGGTCTTGTTAGGTTGCCCAGGCTGGGCTGGAACTTGCAATCCTCCTGCCTCAGCCTCCCAGATTCCTGGAATGGCAGGCACGCGAGTGTGTACCATGCCTTGAGTCCCCTGCAGCCTTCTTCCTCCAAGGGAGGTGCCGGTTCTGTCCCACCTTGGTCCTGGTGGAGGAAGAGGAAGAGGCCCCTGAAGCTGCTCGGGGCAGCTCGATTCCCTCGGCTGGGAGGCCTGAGCACGCTCAGTCGGGTGCTCCTGGCAAGGAGTGTGGCCACCCCACCAAGGCCTGGGGCTTGATTCCCACACACGCTGGGGTCCCCTCTGGACCCACGCATCCCCCAGATTCACAAGTTTAGGTTCAGGGACAACTGGATTTTTAAAAATCTCATTGTAATATGAGAATTTAATTTTTTTTTCTTTTTTTGTGTGTTTCATCTTCACTGCACTGTGTACAATAAGATTAAGGGGTGGGGGCTGGGGATTTAGCTCAGTGGTTCCACTGCCTGCCTCAAAAGCTAAGGACCCGAGTTCTATCCCCGATACCAAAAAAAAAAAAAAAAAAAAGATTAAGGGGTGGGCCGGGGATTTAGCTCAGTGGTGCCGCTGCCTGCCTCAAAAGTGCAAGGTCCTCAGTTCGATCCCCTGGTACCCCCCCCAAAAAAAAGATTTAGGGGCCTTGTTAAAATATTGAGACTGGGGTCGGGGATTTAGCTCAGTGTTTCTGGTGCCTGCCTCGCAAGCACAAGGTCCTGAGTTCAATCCCCGGTACCAAAAAAAAAAATATTGAGACTATAATGGGGCTTGGAATGTATGAACAGAGGTATGAGGGGCAGGATGGTGGAGGTGATTACTTGCTGAACTTGGTGGCACCCTAACGCACGAGGATGGCTCCTCTGGCCGGGCCGTCAGGCCAAGGACCCTGGGTCCCTGTCACTTCAGTCCCCACGGCCCCCATGGTGGGGGAGGTGTGTGGCTTGCAGCCGGGCAGAGGGGACTGGGCCTCTCACAGGGCTGTCCTTTCAGGTGATTGACTCGGATGACCTCTCGGAGGAGAAGATCAGGATGGAGGAGATGGTGGAGGGTGAGTGGCGGGGTCTGGGTAAGTTGAGGCTGAGGTGGAACCCAGGCCGGAGCTGAGTTCGGGGAGAAGACAGGTTGTGTGCCGAGGCCGGGGACCCGAGGAGGCGGGGGCTGTGGCTTCTCAGGGCCACCCCTGGGCTGGGGATGTTGGGGGCCTTTACGAGGACGGGGTCAGGGGCCACGGGCAGACGCGGTGGGGCAAGCAGAGCGGACACTGCAGGAGCACCTGCCTGTTCCTCTCCAGGTGGGACCCTGGGCAGCACCCAGCCATGGCCGGGGAGTAAGCGAGGGAACAGGAATAAAGCAAGATAAAGGGGGTGGCGCACCTATTGTCCCAGCACTCGGAGTCTGAGGCAGGAGCGTCACAAGTTCCAGCCCAGCCTGGGCAACTTAGCAAGACCCTGTCTCACAATAAAAAATAATTTAAACAAGAGCTGGGGATGTAGCTCAGTGTGGCAGCCTTGGGTTCAATTCCCAGTACCTCAAAAAGGAGAAAAAGCAGGATACAGTGGCCAATGACCACAAACAGTCACAAGCAGGGCTTATTGAGTGCTGAGCACATGACAAGCACTTAGTCCTTGGTAGGTTTTAACTTTTATTTTATTTAATTGTTTTTTCTGGTACTGGAGATTGAACTCATGACCTTGCACTTTTGAGGCAGGCACAGTGCCACTGAGCTAAGTCCCCAGCCCCTTTTAACCTTTATTTTAAAAACTAGAAGCCCCTGAGTGATGGTGCACACCTATAATCCCAACTCTCAGGAGGCTGAGACAGGAGGATTGCTGTTAGTTCAAGGCCAGCCTGGGCTACACAGTGAGTTCAGGACCAGCCTAAACTACATAGTGAGACCCCATCTCAAAAAATAAGGGCCGGGGATTTAGCTCAGTGGCACCACACCTGTCTCGAAAGTGCAAGGTCCTGAGTTTGATCCCCATACCAAAAAAGAAAAGTCCAAATGGCTCAAAGAGCATACAGTAAAGTCTCCTTGTTTCCATAGTTCCTTTCTTTTCTCTTTTTTGAGACAGGGTTTCTGCTGTGTGGTTGAAGCTGGCCTTGAACTCACAGTGATCCTCCTGCCACAGCCCCCAAAGTACTGGAATTACAGGCATGCAGCACTACACCCAGCTTTCTCCCACCTTCCTTTTCAGGAGGTGTAACGCAACAGGGCTGAGTCCCCTCACATACAGGCAGCTAGGTAACACAGGTGGCTCCAAGTCACTCATTCTGAGCCCTTTATTTTTTGCCATTTAACACCAAATTTTGGAGCCAGGGCTGTAGCCCCCTGGCAAGCTCTTGCCCGGCATGCACAAGGCCCTGGGTTCCACACCCAGCACCCCAAAACAAAGCAAAACCCCCTCATAATCTGGAGACTGGTCGCCATCAGTTACTGTTCGTACTGTGCACCATATGAACAGTGCATTCACCCCATTGCCTCCCGTGATCAATGTTTTTTAGTCTCTGTTACCAACATGGGTGCAGTCAATTACCCTGCCTCTGTGTGGCCTGCCTGATTTTGATACCTCTGAGCTGAGGTCGACTGTGTCCCCCCAAGCCCAGCAGGAGCTGTCGAAGGACTCAGAGAGGTGGCCGTTAGAGAGGGCAGTGTGTCTGCCATGCCCCAGTTCCTCTCGCTGTGAACAAACCGAGCTCCTAGGTCCATTTATGCTCATACCCTTTGCCTACTGTTTCTTACTGGGTCATTGGTCTGTTTTTGATTTTTAGAAGCTCTTTATATATGTATAGTCCCAAAGCAGCCCCCCTTAGGTGCTTTGTCTTTTGACTGTTCTTGTGACGGTGTTTGCCATGAATTATTTTTTACTTTTGTTTTCGTTTGAGACAGGGTCTCACAACGTAGCCCAGGCTGGCCTCAAACTCTTGTCAATCCTTGTGGCCAGGTTCCCCAGGCTGGGCTCAGACTCAAAATTCCCCTGTCTCAGGCTCCCAGAGTGCTGGGATTACAGGTGTGCACCCCCACCCCCAGTGGGCACCATCATCAGTATCCCCATTTTGTCACTTGAGGACACTGGGGCGAGGAGAATCAGGTTCCCCAAGACCACGCAGGCTGCGTCCCGGCTCTCAGGGTGGCCGCTTGGAGCTGGTGGAGGAAGGACCTAGCGTGCATCCCTCCAGGGCTCCTGCAGCAGGGTCCTCCTCGCCACCAGGATGAGCCCTGATGGCCTCTCCTCTCCCCCAGGCTTGCAGGAAAAGCTGAACAAGAGGGACAAAGAGGTGACAGCCTTGACGTCCCAGGCCGAGGCGCTCAGGGCCCAAGTAAGTGGTAAGTCTCCCACAGGGCCACATGGTGGGATCCAGTCCCCAGAACCACTGCCGAGAACCAGGCTTCTGACAGAGCCCCGGGACCTGAGCTCCCAGCCCGGGCTCTGTGTTCAGAAGCCTGGTTCTTCCAGGCCACTGTGTTTTGGACAAGGTCTCCATAAGTCCCTAAGTTGCTTGGGGTGGGCCACACTTGCAATCCCAGCACTGGGGAGGCTGAGGCAGGAGGATCGTAGATTCAAGGTTGGACTGGACTATGTAGCAAGACCTTGTCTTAGAAAAAGGGGGGGGCAGGGATTTAGCTCAGTGGTTTTGCTGCCTGCTGTGCAAGCGCAAGGACCCGAGTTCAATCCCCAGTACCAAAAAAAAGAGAGAGGCAGGGAGGGAGGGACACGGCCTAACCCTAACCCTAACTCAGCCTGGGCGGGGTGGGGGAGTGGCCCTCTCAACAATGCGCTCTCCATCGGGCCAGTGCTAGAGAGCAAGTGCAAGTCTGGGGAGAAGAAGGCAGATGCCCTGCTGAGGGAGAAGCGGCGCCTGGAGGCTGAGCTGGAGGCCATGTCCCGAAAGACACATGACGCCTCTGGCCAGCTGCTGCTCATCAGCCAGGAACTGCTGCGCAAGGAGCGGTGAGCTAGTCTGGCCCCTGACCCGGGCGGCTGGGCACCCCTCCTACAGAGGCCTGAACCCCAACCCGACCCCACCCCCAGCTCTTTCCTAATTTTTATTTTGAGACAGGGTTTCACTAAGTGGATAAGTTGTCCCCAGGCTGGGCTGGAACTTGCGATCCTCCTGCCTCAGCCTCCTGAGAAGCTGAGGTGACAGGTGTGGGCCCAGCACCCAGCCTAGAGTCCTTCAGAACCTGGTTCTCTGGACAGGGTTTATAGGGAAGATGGACACTTTCGCATCCTCGTGGTCTCAGGGAGCCCTTTCAGCTTTATATAAGAATTATCATTCCCTGGGCCGGGGATTTAGCTCAGTGGTTTCACCGCCTGCTGCGCAAGTGCAAGGACCCAAGTTCGATCCCTGGTACCAAAAAAAAAAAAAGAATTATCATTCCCTGAAGGAGCTTTTGTCTGGTCTGCACGGATCAGATTGTGTTAGAAACGTATGCCGAGAGCAGGGCGTGGCAGTGCTCGTCTGTAAGCCCAGAACTGGGAGGCTGAGGCGGGAGGATCACAAGTTGGAGCCCAACCTGGGTAACTTAGCAAATAGGTGAGACCCTGTCTCAAAATGTAAAATAAAAAGGGTGGGGAATGTAGCTGGGCATGAAGGCCCTGGGTTCGATCCCCAGTATGGCAAAACAAAAACAAAAAAAGGTTTGAGAAACAGGCAAGAGCCCTGAGAGCCCTTGATGGTTGTGCCCGGTCCTGTCAGATCCTTTCCTGCTTCCTCCCCTCCCCTCCCCCTCCCCCTCCCCATCGTCCTCCTCCTCCTTCCCAGGCTCTCATGCCTGGTCGGCGTCCCCACAGCGTGGTCCTGGGGTCTCACGCCCTGTGCCCTGACCCCCAGGAGCCTGAACGAGCTGCGGGTGCTGCTGCTGGAGGCCAACCGCCACTCACCGGGGCCGGAGCGCGACCTGAGCCGCGAGGTGCACAAGGCCGAGTGGCGGCTCAAGGAGCAGAAGCTCAAGGACGACATCCGGAGCCTGCGTGAGAAGCTGACTGGGCTGGTGCGTGGAGGCCCCACAACAGCCGAGTCACAGTGGGGACAGAAATGCCCTGGCGTCACGGGGGGCGGGGGGCTGTGCGGTGCACAGGGGAGCTGTCCTGTGGCGTGACCTGCTCGGAGCCAGCCGGGCTGGCAGGTGGTGAGCTCCCCGTGCAGGGAGGTAAGCAACGGGAAACCAGGGTTCCTCCTCTGGAGCTCCCAGCGTCTCTGGGGAAGGCGCTGCGTGTGGATTCGTGGACTTGGCAAGTGGGGCTGGATCCCTGCACCTGGGAGAGGCAGGTGGGAGAGGGAGGCGCACACAGGACGCACAGGGACACATGACCCCGCCCCCCAGGACAAGGACAAGGACAAGGCCCTGGAGCAGCGGCGCTACTCGCTCATCGACCCGGCGGCGGCCCCCGAGCTGCTGCGGCTGCAGCGCCAGCTAGCGGGCACGGAAGACGCGCTGCGGGCCGCGCTGGAGCAGACGCAGCGCGTGGAGGCGCTGGTGGAGGCGCTGCGGGGCGCCGGGGCGCAGGTGAGCAGCGGGCCGCCGAGGGGGAGGCACCCTGTCCCCAGCGCCGTCCCAGGTCCGGGCGGGTGCTGCGATCCCCGGGTACCGCGCCCATCTAGTAGTTGCCTGCGGGACTGCGGCCTCGCGGACCTGCCTCAGCCTCCTTCCACTGCTCCCTGCAGACCATGGGCAGCTCCTCCTCTGCCAACGGGATCCACCAGCAGGACAAGGCCCACAAGCAAGAGGTGAGGGCGCCGGGCCCCCAGGAGAACCCCGAGACGTCGCTAGAATGCACCAGGGCAGGGACGTGCTGTGTGAGGAGCAGAGGAGGGTGCCAGTGCCCTCCTCGCCCTTCCAACCTCGTTTCACTTGCACATTGTAAAGCAATACCTGCCTGGGGAAGCGTCTAGAAACAATCCAAAATTGTATACAAAGAAAGTACCACCAGTAGCCCTTCCACTCAGAGGTGACCAAGACCAGTGGGGCTCCCGACAGACCCGGCTTTCCCTGCCCCCGGGCCTTTGCATGTGCTGCCCCTCCTCCAGCCTGCGCCCTGTTCCCCTGCCCACCACCCCTCTGCCCACCTGTCCCTCAAGGCTGATGTGACCCTTGCTCTCCCAGGACAAGCACTGACCCCAGGGCCTCGGTGGAGCTGCCATTCACACCAGAGCCCAGCCAGGCTGCACAGCGGCGCCCTCTTCAGGCAGGGGCCGGGACTGTCACTTGGGAGGCTTGGCTACAGTCATGAACTGACCGCCGCGGACAATCCCTGCAGGACGTGGGGCTTCCCCAGCACAGCCTTCCTCAGGGAGGGGTGCAGCGGCCTGGCCAGGGACCGCACCCTGCTCCCGGCGGCTTCTGCAATTTGGGGTGGCCGAGAGACCTGGCCAGGCCCCGCGCCCCGGAGCCAGCAGTGCTGTAGTCCCCGGGTGCCCCGGACCCCTCCCCTCCTCCCTTTCCCAGGTCCCCCGCAGGCCCTGGGGGCCAGAGCAGGGCCCAGGGTCCCCTGCAGGCCACAGGGGCCCCCAGGCTGCGGTCCCCGTGCTGCGGGCCCTCCATACAGCGGTACGAGCTCCCCGCGGCCCAGCGACGCCCCGGTTTTAGTGAGGGACCAGGTCCCGCGCCCCCTTCCACCGCCATTGCCAGCCTGAGGGCGACAGGCAGGGCTGGAGCCCCGGATAGGCGCAGCGGTCGGGGCTGCAGGTGGCTCAGGACCCCGTGTCTTCCCCTCCCGCCCCTGCGCAGCTCTCGCATTCGGATCCGTTAACCGCAGCTAGAAGTCGCTTTAGTGGCCTAACCTCATCGGTGCCGCCCCGAGAGGCTGACAGCTCGCAGCCAGGGCCCCACGGCGGGGACCAGTCGCAGGCGGCAGGGGCCCAGGAGGCCGCTTCCCCCAGCAGCAGTGCCTGCCGCCCGCGTGGCCGGCCGCGCCCCTCCCCCACCCCTCCCCCAGTGGAATTGTGGAAGTGTGGGAGACCTTGCGCGGGACAATAAAGCTTGTGACTGAGGTGCAGAACTTCTCTGGTGCTGTGGCTTCCAAAGAGCTGCTGTCCCACCTCTCCAGCACTCTGGTGCCAGGGGTTCATCAGATGTCTGCACTAAGTATCAGTGTGGGCTCATAATGTAAATAATGTAAACGGTTCCCGTTTACCTCGCCGGCGCCCCCTAGCGGCCCGATCGTGCCTTCTCGTGGGCGCCATTCGTTCCTCCGCTGTGTATTTTCCTCTCCGGGATCCCCTATTGCGCCCGTTCACCTAACATCTTCCCAGATACAGTTGACCTTGATACAGTTGGTGGCCACTGGGGGGCGGTGTGGGGGCCCCACGCCGTGTCTCGGGTTCCTGGGGAGGCTGCGCGGGAGTGGGAAGGACACGCAGGACGCAGAGCACCGACCCAGGGCGGGCCTGTGGTCAGGGTCCTGTTGCTGGTGATCAGGACTCGGTTAAATAGCATAGGCCCGGCCTGGAGGCACAGGCCTGCAATCCCAGCACTCCCGGAGGCTGAGGCAGGAAGATCGCAAGTTCAAACCCAGCCTGGGCGACTTAGTGACTTAGTGAGAACCCTGTCTCAAAATAAAATTTAAAATTAAACAAAATTAAATTTACAATTAAAAATTAAATTAAAAATTACAAAGGACTAAAGATGCTCAGTCCTAGGTTCAATCCCTAATACCACTTCCCCCCAAAATCCTCCACTCCAAGATTTCCGCTTTCTCCTTCCATATTTTGGAAGAGGTACCTTTTTTGTTTCTATGTTTTTGGTTTTTTGAGACAGGGTCTTGCTATGTAGCCCAGGCTGGCCTTGAACTCTCAGCAATCTTCCTATCTTAGCTCCCCAAGTGCTGGGATTACAGGTGTGTACAACACCTGGCTAGGAAGAGGTACTTTTAAATGATGCAAATACCCTGTTTCCCCCTAAATTTCCACCACTGGCTTTAGCATCCATCAATGGGTTGTGCCTGCAAAGAGTGTTACTGTTAAAAACGGTGATTTTCAAGGGGCCGGGGATTTAGCTCAGTGGTTTTGCTTCCTGCTGTGCAAGCGCAAAGACCCGAGTTCAATCCCCGGTACCAAAAAAAAAAAAAAAACTCTGATTTTCTGCCCCCTCTCTCCTTCTACTTTTTTTTTTTTTTTTGGTACTGGGGATCGAACTCAGGTCCTTGCGCTTGCACAGCAGGTGGCGAAACCACTGAGCTAAATCCCCGGCCTCTAGTTTTATTTTTGGCATGCTGGGGATTGAACAGCACCTGGCACCTGCTAGCAAGTGCTCTACCACTGAGCCCTCTCTCCATGTTAACTAGAAGTCTTCTTCGAGGAGGATTTGTCTCTTCTCCCCCAGCTATTCATTTATCTGGTTATTTATATCAACATGGACTCATAGAGCCAGGCACAGTGGCAGCACGTGTAGTCCCAGCTACCTGGGAGACTGAGGCAGGAGTATCACATGGCCCAAGGATTGCAGGGCTGTAGTATGCTGTTCATCAGATGTCTGCACTAAGTATCAGTGTGGGCTCATAATGTAATTCGGTTCTTTCATTACTTGGTTGCTCAATTTGTTCTGGCTTTGCCATTGGTTACTCAGAACTGGTCCCTCTGCCTATTTGACAAAACCCCAGCCTTATTTGACAAAATCCTGGGCCCTGCACTAGACTCATCTTGTATGAGGTGTGATTAAACAATACAGTGAATGTTTAAGTTAAAATTAATTATAGTGGGCCAGGGATTTAGGGCAATGGTTCCACCACCTGCCTTGAAAGCACAAGGTCCTGAGTTCGATCCCTGCTATCAAAAAAAATTAATTACAGTAAAAAACACATTGCCGTAAGTCCCCGTTTAAAGCCTCCCCCTCGCTCTGAGCACACTGATCCCTTGGTTCTTACCACTTTCTGAAGCAGTTCTGGAGTCCTCTTTCAGGAGGGTCTTTACAAGGTGTGATCACAAACACAGGGACTGCTGCTTCGGAGCGCCATCCAGTGGAAAGACAGGGTTGCAAACAGGACCCTGTGTCCTCCGCCTTACTCACTGGATCTGGCACCGTGTCACTTCTGGCTCCTCCCCAAAGTCAAAATGACCATGAAAGGGAAATGTTTTGAATCGATTCAGGACATCGAGGCAGCCAAGACAGTATAACTACAGACCCTCATGAAAGAGGACTTCAGAGCTGCTTCAGAAAGCAGCAGAAACAATGGGATGAGTTCGTTAGAACTAAGGGGGAGTATTTTGAGGGACGTTCAGGGCAATGTGTCCTTTACTGTAATAAACTTCTAGTTTAAACATTCACGTAGGTTTTGATCACACCTTGTAGACTCCCTGCCCCAGCTCTGGGCTGAGACTGTAAGACAGAAAGCTAAATTATAAGCAACGAAAGGGGAATTAAAATTAGATTAATTGGACTCCGTCAAAATCTAACACGTCCTGCATGAGCGTGGTCCTGGGCTGCGTGTGCGATGGAGGTCAGACTCGGCCGTCCTGGAGCCTGCTGGTGGCCATCACACGCCTCGCAGATGTTGCCGGCCGGCTGAGAGTTGTTGCTCAGTTATACAGAAATCACGGGTCTCCAGCTCCCGCGCCAGGGGACTCTCCCATGCCTGGATGGCGGTGCCCATCAACTTTCAGTGTCCCCAGCGCCACCTGCTGGCCGCTTCCGGCAAGGCGGCCTTTGCGTTACCAGCTGCAGGCTACAGCTCAGCCTGCTCTACCTGACAGAGACGGACCCCGCCAGGACCCCACTGCGGGACAAGGGACCGGAACCCCTGAGGGAAGAACTGCTTGTGTAGGGAAGGAAAGGCGCTGGCGCAAGCCCAAGTCAGACTTCCTTCTTGGCCCTGCCACCCTCCTGCCTCAGCCTACTGCCCAGCTGCAGTGCTGGGACCACAGGCCTGTGCCACCATGACCAGCTTTTTTCTGGCACGTCTGAAAGGAAAGGTTGTGTCATGAGGACTTTTCTTCGGTGTTAGGTGGACCCCAGGCTCAGGCCTGCTAGGCAAGTGCTCACCACTGAGCCTGGTCCCAGCCCAGGAGGGATTTTTTAAATGCAGTGTGCCTGGTTCCAGCAGGCCCCAGGCAGGCCCTGGCACAGCCTCCGTCTCAGCATGGATGGATGGGTCATGGGGCTCCTGCCCTGTAGACCTGGCTGCAGTGAACATTCGAGGTCTGAGCCAGAGGACAACCCCGGGCCCATCGCCCTGCTGCCAGCTTGGTGTCTTGGGGGTGCTGTGCAGTATCCCTCAACACCCGCAGACCAGCAGGGACAGGGACGGCTGCAATGGAGCTGGGGGGCAGAGCGCCAGCCCAGTGCAGGAGCCACACTGGGCTCCATTCCTGGCACCTCAAGAATAATCCAGGAGAGGGCAAATGGACAGTTGTTCAGAAGACACCACAAGGAAGTGAGCGCGGAGTAGTGCTACATGGAAGAAAGGGCCAAGCTAAAGCCACTAGACCTCAACAGCACATACTGTGACTTCATTCCTATCAAGGCCAAGAATAACCAAACCTCAGCCAGGTGTGGCAGCACACACCTGTGACCCCAGCACTCTGGGAGGCGGAGGCAGGAGGATCTCGAGTTCAAGCCCACCTTGGGTAACTTTGTAATGTAGTAAGACTCTGTCTCAAAATAAAAAATAAAAATAAAAAGGGTTGGGATGTGTCTCAGTGCAAAGGCCCTGGTTTCAATCCCCAGTACTGCAAAAAAAGCAAAGGTATGTCTGCAGCAAACATGCATAGAATTGTTAATCATCATTCCCTAAACAACAGAACATAAAGCTACTTACCTGGCCCTAGGTTGTGTCAGGTACGGAATCCGGGAGAACTGCATGGGCTACGTGCAAATCCTGCACCATGTTATGTAAGGGATTCCAGCAGCAGCTGACATTGTACCCCTGGGGGCCCTGGAGGCATCCCCTCCACAGAGAGAGGGGTCTGAACAGCTCTGCGAGCATAGCTGAGCTCCAAGAAAGTAGAGGACAACTTCCAAGGGTCAGAAGCAGGGTGGTAAACTGAGGCTCAAGCCATGCTCCCCCGGGGGCATTTGGTCAGACACCAAAAGGCTATGAATTGTATTTTTGTTTTTTGAGACAGAGTCTAACTGTGTAGCCCAGGCTGGCCTCGAAGTCATGCCGATCCTCCTGCCTCAGCCTCCTGAGTGCTGGGATGAGAGGCGTGTGCCACCACACTCGGCACAAAGCTATGGCCATAGGGTCTCAGAGAACATGGCTTTGGCAATTGGAAAAGGAGCCGAGACGATTCCTGTCAGGCTAGGGGACTGCAGCCCCTTGGAGGTGTGGACCGGACCAGCTGTCCCGGCAAAAGGGGGTCAGGAAGCTTAGGGTCAAGCAGAGGCTCACAGGAAAAAGTCCTGGGAGGGTTTCTAACAGCGACACTGTCCTGAGAGGTTCCCACTGGACCCGGTTTCACATCATCCTGATGCGGAGGACCTGCTGAGGTGGACATGGCCCTGCTCTGCGGGACAAAGCTCAGGCTGGCCTCCAGGAGCCCACTGAACAGAAGCCCTGCTGGAGACGGCACACGAAAGTCAAATCAATCAAATCGGCACATACCTGTAATCCCAGCTACTCTGGAGGCTGAGTCAGGAGGATCACTTGAGCCCAGAAGTTTAAAGCCAGGCTGGGCAACAGACTGAGACCCCCATCTTTTTTTTTTTTTTTTTAACCTTTAATTCTTTTTTTGTTTTGTTTTGTTTTTTGTTTTGGTACCAGGGATCCGCTCCTTGTGCTTGCGAGGCAGGCAGGCGGTGGAACCGCTGAGCTAAATCCCCAGCCCCCCATTTAAAAAAAAAAAAGAAAGAAAGAAAAAAAAAGAAAGGAAGAAAAGACACTTTTTAAAGTAAAAAAGCAGAGTGGTGAGCCCCAGCACCACCCCAAACATCCAAACCAGAAAGTAAAAGCTCAGGTGTAGCAAACGCCTGGGACCGTGCTCGGGTGCTGGTAACAAACATCTGCGGAATAGACGAGAGACAGCCAATAGACGAGGTGAGTATAGGCCAAGATGGGGCTCAGAA